AAAACATTAAGTGATTTATTTTCATCTTTTTATTTTTATTTTTTAATAATGGTAAAACCTTTGGACAAGTAGTAGGGTGTTCATTCATACAGTAAACATGCTAAAGAGGAATAAATATAAATATTTAAAAATACAAAGAAGAAAATAATAAGAAAATAAATTATAATAGCAAAATAAATAGGCAAGAGTTAAAGAAAAATTAAATAATTAATGTTTTTAAAGTTATCATTGTTAGTTAATAGAGATGAATCTCAAATTATGGTGTATAGTATAAATTTTATACATAAAGACAGCATAATACATAAGACTGAAAACCAAAAATATTTTGAAAATAAATACCCACCAAGTGAAATGAATATTGTCAACACATGCAATATTACACATCGCTATTATTAGTACAAAAGGTTGTTTGTAAAAATTGAATTTTTTAAAAATAAAAAACCATTTCTTTGTTATTTATTAATATGATTTCTTTCATATTTTATTTCCCTCTGCTATTTTCTTATTTTGTCGACTACATATAGCAGTTACAGACTACAAAATTTTACATTTAGTGCAAAGAGAATAAATTTGTAAAATTGTTACGTATGACCTTTTGCACTAACAGTAGCAATATGACAGACAGTTTGGATATATTTTCAAAAAATGAACTGCTTTGAATAAATTTCAATTTTTAAAATAAATACAATTTTATTCATATTTTTACAAATCATTGATGAGCTAGATCCAAATTATATGGTAAACTCTTATATATTTGGTTTTTCAATTATATTAAACCGTTACAAAATTTGTATGCCTTTAAAAAAGTAAATAAAATATAAAATAAACAAAAAACTTGAAAAGATACATAAGGTAATTATGTTATAATCACCCTTATAATTACCTGTTATAATTGCCCTGATGATACCTGAATTGGCTAAAAGTTGGCAAGTTAATTAACTATTCATCTATATGTCGGAGACTCATTGCTTTGTAGTTTGGGTTTTTCTATTTATAAGGTAAATAAAATCACTCAGTAACTGGAATTATGTTTTAAAATTGAAATTTGGTATTTATTGATGACAAAACTCAAATTATGGAAATATTAGCAAAGATGTTGTAGAATAGATTTATAATCATTCAGAAAATAAATATCCATTAAGTGTAAGAAATAAGTCATTAAGTTAAGAGTCATTAATATTTAAAATAGTTATTATTTTAAACATGAAAATCACATCAACATTTTTTTTTTCTATCAGGAAATATTAAATAGCATAATGTAAAAAAAAAAAAAAAATATTCTTTAATAGTTAAAATAAAATTGTCTAGATTATGTGTGCCCAAATTATTTAAATAATAACATGAAATAATTCAGTTTTGGCAAGATAAATAAATTAAGTGATTATTTATTGTATTTTTTTTTATTTCTTAATGACATTTACAACTGTATTAAATAAATACATTTAGTGAATTTGGACATAATAGATATAATGACATGAATACACTTGCTGAGTAACTACCCAATGGTAGCACTCTAACTTTATTGTAAATAAAATACTAACTTTGGGAAACTAAATTTTATATATATTTTATTAAGTTAAAAGTATTTCAATCATAAAATTAAATATTCTAAAAATCTATTACGTAGACAACTACTAAAATTTCCAAGGCAACAAGCTCATAATTTTCATATTTACATCCTTTATAATTCTGAACTAAGCAAATTATTTTTAGAAATTCCACTTTATCTTCAAAATTTATGACATAATTTGAGAAGGCCAACAGCCACTTTAGTCTTGATATTCATAAAGTGCACAAATATCAGTTGAATCAAAGCTTTCATGTGTGAAATATATGTAAAGAAACATTTGAAATATATTTATATCAATCATACATGTTCAGTGGTACAAATAATTAAAGTTACATAAAAAAATTAAACTTATGGTACATTAATGTGTTAATATTTTGGGATATTTTGTAGTAATATTCTTAATCCAACATCTCTTATACAGTTTAGAAGAGTTTATCTGAAAGCCTTTCCTAAAAAAAAAATAATAATACTGAAATAGAAGCATACGTAATAATAAAAAGTACTCATAATTGTCTTTATATGATAAAAGAGGAAGATGAAGAAAAACTCTATTTTAAATTCAATTACTATCAATAACAGAACTATTTCTATGATTCCTAAAGTTAGGTTAAATTAGAATAAATATTATTTAATAAAAATAAAAATTCACTATACCTAAACTGATAAAGAATAATAAGATAACTTATAATTATTACTTTCAATGACGACTAATTTATTCTTAGCGATCACATCCACCCAATAAAAATGGAGAGGGGGTGAGAATATCCTTTCACCTTCCCCCCCTCCACCCCAATATTTCCAAGAACTTATTGAAATTTTAGTTTATATTCAAAAATATGCAGCAATATAAACTAGGATTTGATTATTCATTCATGTGTACCCTTCCATTTTTACATGAAGATTTTATCACATTTCCCAATGCAAATTTGAAGCATCGAAGAAATTAGAGTTCGTCCCATTCAATTGATTTATTATCATATTTTCAGATATGCCCAATAAACCCATACCCATAATAAAAAATAAAAAATATTAATAAATAATTTTATTTTTATATATAGTATTATATTGTTCATTTTGATAATTATGTTTATTATCTCATAATTTTTATACATAATATAAACTTCTGAGATTTTTTTTTATGGGTATCACCCCTCTCCCAACCAGAATGCATATAGTTCGACATTTATCAAAAAATAATAAAAATAAAATTGTAAAGTAATAACAAGTAAAACATTAAAAAGCTGAATTTTTCCTGTAGTACTTTCCATATCCATTAGGGCATTAAAACAATTGGAATATCTCTTCATAATTCAATCCTATGCTTATATCTTAGTTAAGAATAAGAAATCATAACTTAAATCAAGTTTTAAAAAATTGTAAATTATTTTTCTTTTTATTATATTCTTTATTGTGTTCATGGATCGTGCCAGCCCTTGTGTGTGCTGCTCAGGGTTGGCCATCCCAAACGTTGATGGCACATGAACCTTCTCAAGATATTTTATTACTTTCCTCTTCTAAAAACAGTGCAAACAGAAGTAGAATTTATGGATTTGTTCTGATTCTTACAGGTTCTTATGATATTTTTTGTCAGGACATCATGAAATGACTGTAAAATAGAGAATAAGACTGTTATTTTTTATTAAATCTCAGAAGCTTCATATGAAACCAAATACTATTTGAAGTAAGTATGTTGTTTTTTTTCACTTAATCCAGATTGGCTTAATTCCTGGCCATTTTTTTTTTTCTGTTTCAATACTTTTGAATTTAAAAAATAAATAATTATTTTATTTTATTTATTTTATTTATTGTTGTAAAATTAATTGGAAAATTTAGTAGGATACATTAAGCTCTAATTTGGCTATGGAGAACAAATAAATTGAGGCACCTTAGGGAGCTCAAAATGTCAAAATTGTTTCTTTTAATTTTCCAAAAAATCAAAAAAAAGTCATAATCTAAAAGTTATAATAAAAGTATCATTTATCTTTTCAATTTTTTTTTTGAACATTTCTTTATATAGTAAAATTACATTTTATCACAACTAAGGACATTTGTAATAGTGACGCAAGAGTTAATTCACACTTTTCTACAGTAAATAAAAATATATCTTTTCAATTAGCAAAGAAGAATGATGAGACAAAAATATACATTCTTCAAAATAAACTTTTTTATAATTAATTATTTTATGCGTAATTTAATAAATTTTTATTCTTATGCAATATAGATAAGAATTTTTGTTTTAAATTTTCTTTTCTCATAAAGCAAAAATAAACAAAAGGATAAGTAAATAAAAATAGTGATATATATTTTCATAAGATATTACATTTTAGCACATTTATTTTACTTTAAAAAGTATTTTTATTAAGTATTACTGTCTGGTGGATATTTTCAAAAATATTGAATGCAAAATGAAAAAATTTAAAGAAACGTTCAATGTTTTTCTGAACTATAATGAACTGGTGATCAGACAAGATCGAAAATTTTGTTTTTGCAGTCCAAACCCAAATAACTTATAAAAAAATTAGAATTACCTGATCTTTTTCATTTTGAAAGTCCTTTGTTTCTTTGAATTAAAAAAATTATTATTCAAGCTGCAACCATAGACATTTTAATATTTTTGCTAAAAGAATAATATTTGAAAACTATTAATATTGTATTCATAAAAATCATTAATTTATTATATTAATGGGAGAAAAAACTCTCCTCAACACAACCCATGATGATAAAATCATTAATTTTGTACTAATGAAATTTAAATTTAAAAAATATATTTAGCTGTATTCTTCCTCTGAACCCATAACTAATTTACAAATACTTTAGTAAATAGTATAAAATATGTTAATTCATCACTTGAAAAATATTCCTCAATCTGTTGTGAAAAAATAATTTATATATCAATTGTACAAATGAGATGTGTACGTTATTAATGTAAATAGTTTGTAATGTATAAATAAATATAACAATAAAGATGGCACCCTGGTTCAGATCAATCGGAGCCTGGGAAAGCTTCATTCAGCATGGGCCCTGTTCACTTGTAGCCTGCATTAGAGTAACATTGAATCTCGACTGTTTTGTTTTAATATCCCATGATCCCATAACACAATCCCAAAAAAAAATTCTAATCTTACTCTATGTATAGTTACTTAATGTTGTCATTACTCTTTATTATATTTCATCCTATGCAATAAAAGATATTCCATTTCACCCACTTCCTTTATCATTCCAAATCTCACTGTTAAAAAATATAAAACAATTTAGAATAATTAAATAATAATTCCACAGGAATATTATGAAAAAGAGGAAATATCATTATTGACCATAAATTATTTATTTGCATTTGTATCTTTTTTTCAAATCTAATATCAATATCATTTTTTGCTTATTATTTTAGCTTGATCAACATAGTAGCTAAATCTGTGTATTTCTTTTAGCAATGGGTTTTCAGAAATATACATTAGCAGTAATAGTGTTAGCACCTATTATAGCATATTTAGGAATAAAATTTCATGAAACAAATGAAACGCCGAAATTAGAATTGGAATATTGGGGACCAGGAGAAGAAAAAATTGACGATAAAACAATAAAGCCATTTAAAATCAGTTTTCAATCCTCTGTAAGTTAATTGTGATGATATATTATAGGCTTGCTATGATGGAAACTACATATTATAAGTTAAAAACTGATATTTTTAATTGATGTATGCAGGAACTGAAGGAGCTTAAAGAAAAATTGGATAAACCGCGGTCATTCACTCCCCCTCTCGAAGGTATTGGTTTTGAATATGGTATAAACACTGATTACTTGAAAGATATTCTTCAATTTTGGAGGACAAAGTATAACTGGACAGAAAGAGAGACTTACCTCAACAGCTTCCCTCAGTTCACAACACAAATTGGGGGTCTGAATATTCATTTTTTACATGCAAAAGTAGATCCTGTTAAATCAAAAGGTATATTCATTGAACATATCATTCAACAATAACTGTTATTAACAATAGTTATACTTGCCAATAGTCTATTCTTAAATGTTATTTTTTAATTCCTCTTTCCATGACAAAAAAATTAAAATTGAGAGTAATTTGCTTTTGATATTCTTTTATTTTTGTAATTATAAAGTAGTGAATGCTCCTGAAACACTAAAAATCATTAAACACTTCTTTTTTCTCTACTACATAAAAGTGTGAGGAATCATTAAAAACATATTTTTTATTAATATTGTTTATTCAGAATACTAAACATCAACATAATATGATGAGAAGAATTTAAAAAATCAAGAAAAAACACAAAGTTGGTAAGTAAGTTATGGTTATAGTCACAACAAAACATTATATAAATAAAATCTTAATTGTTTCATTAATGTTTATCTGCAGATATGAATTAGAATATCAAACTCAATTGAACTACTAAGTTTCATTCTCATATTTTGTTAAGAAAAATTTTTTAATTGGTTTGCGAATTTAATTATATGGATAAATATAATTTAACTACATCTCAATGCATATTTTTAAACCTTTGATTCAATTTGAAGGGATTTATTGTTTGAACTGAAAAGAATAAATAATTAAGAAAGAAAGATTTGAAGGTGTTATCATTTTTACTTTTTTAATTTCATATTGAATATACATTCTAAGTGTAAAAACTGTAGAAATATTAGGCTACGAGCTATGGACAATTTCATTTAATGGAAGGACTAGGTGGGTAAAAGCATCAGTAGTTGACAGTGTGCCAATACCTGACATCCTCCTCTTAGAATGTGAATAATAAATTTTCAGGACCTCCTAGACCCCTATTTCATAAATATTTAGTTTCTATATTTCCTACTTGTATATTTGCTTGCTTTGCTTTAGTCTTGATGGAAACCGTAACCGAAAGAATGAATGGAGAATTAGGAAGGTCCCTCACTGTTCACTTAGGTATTCCAGGATCAACCATCTATCTAGTAAGGATACCATACCTTATGCTTGCTCTTTTCTCTTTAACTACTTTGATTTATCCCAATTTTTATATTTTATTTTTTCATTGAGTGTTTTTAAATTATGTTTTATATGTTTTTTACCTATCTTGATGAAGAAATTAGAAATTTAATGGGTTATCAGATACTGGGTCCTTATAATAGGGCCTTTTGCCAGTAGCTGACAGGCCCGTATTCTCATAAATTTCAAAAGATATACTCAATATAATGTACGTAAAAATGGGACCATTCACAACTGTTACGTTAAAATAAAATTCTAATGATTTTAATTAAATTTAAAGCAAAAATAGGTTTTCCTATTGCCAAAAACTAGTTCTTGACAGTGAGCAGTATTTATTATACAGATAAATTTAAGTCGGAAAGCGCAAGAAGTTAGTTTTTAATAAGTTAAAGGTAATTTTTATTAATTCCAAATCAAACAGTGTCAATTACTGGTACCACAAAATTATTCTCTTAATTTTCAATTTTTGAAAATTTAGATGAGTATTTCATGGATTTGAAATATGTCTTGGGAAGGTGAGAAATATTTCTATAACCTGAATTCATTAAAAATATAATAACATCATTATTTTAATTTAAAACGTAAAAGTTCTTTATGCAGGTCAGCTAGGGGTGCATTACCCTAAATCTCATCTGAACATACAACTTCGGTCAGATGGTTGAAAGCCATTGGTTTCTATGCACAAATTTGACGGTTAATTTAACGTAAGAACATAACATAACATGACCTAATTTGATGACTTTGATGTAATCAGTTTCCAAAACGTAACCGAGTACATCGTCAGTCAAGGTGAATTTTCTTAAAGGGACATATTCTTGACACCACAGTAAAATTTCAGCCATATGTTCTTACATTAAATGAACCGCTAAATTTCACCTCTTTAATTTAAATTTTCGTATAGAAAGCAACGGTTTTCAACGGACTAACTGAAGTTGTGTGTTCAGATGAGTTTTATTTAAAATGGTTACTAGCTTTAAGTCCCTCTGTTAAATGAAATGATCGGTCGCTCCTAGTCTTTACACAGTTATGCACAATTTTCAATAATGAAATTACTAATTGTGTATCATTATTCTGTAAAGTATTATTGGGCGTATTTTTTTAAAAATGACGTTTTTTTCAAATTTGGTAAGAAGCCATTTTAATTCTGCAAAAGGTACTTATTTTTATTATTTTAATGAATACCATACTTTTTCATATTTTGGGTTAATAATCACATGCTGGTTTACGTTTTGGGACATCTTTAGAACCAGTGTTGCCTAAAATTGATGAACAATTATACTTAAAATATACTTCACATTGTTCCAAATGACTCTTCTCTTCTTCTTCTTTCTCTACCTCCTTTGTGCCTTCCAGCGTGGAGGTGCCTCCATCCATGCATCCCAAGGATTTCGGTCAAGCTAGAGCCCTCATATCCCCTATCCTCATACCTCTTTTCTGCCCATCTTGATGCCAATATGACTCTTTCATAATAATAATTAAGATTTGTTCCCTTGCCACTTTAAATACAAAAGATAAATCACCAAGGCAATTAGTTGTTGTATTTTAATGTATAATATATATATATCTTATATCAGTAGGTTACTTTGCCTTTATAACTGGACAAGTCTAATGACAGAACTTGATGTAATAAGTATTTTAAATAATATTTAAAATACCAAGGACCTTATTAAAGATTAAAATTTAGCACTGATTATTTTCTATGGATTTGTTTATTATGGAAGTCTCCAAATACTTAAACATAAACTTATCAACATTTGTCTTGTTTCTTAAATTATTTTATGTATTGAAACAAAACTTTTTTAAAATGCTTTCATTTTATCATTTTGTAAAATGAAACATACTGATCCAATGATAACAATCTGTTATTCAAGCAGGTATCATTTCTTGATTCAAGACCCATAATCTATAGCTTTTCTGACTTTAAAACTTGTATTAAATTTGCTTATTTTAATAGTAATAAAGTATCCTTTATTTGTAATATTGTGCAGGTAAACAAGTTCTGCCACTGATTGTTCTGCATGGATGGCCAGGTGCAGTTAGAGAATTCTACAACTTGATTCCATTGTTAACAACACCTCAACCAGATTCTAATTTTGTCTTTGAAGTAGTTATTCCTTCCCTTCCTGGCCACACATTTTCACAAGGAGCTTCCAAACCTGGCTTAGCACCAGCGAAAATTGCAGTTTTGTTTAATGAACTTATGTCGAGGCTTGGTCATGATAAGTATTATGTACACGGAGGAGATTGGGGCTCTGTGATAGGCAATAATATGGCTATTTTAAATCCTGACAAGTAAGTTTATTTTAACCATGTTTCTCTTTTATTTATTTATTTTCAATCCTTTATTTAACAATGTGTTTTATGATTTGTCCATCTAGTTATGGACTAAATATAAATTTACAAATGTAACATTTTATTTCATTTTTATATTCCTTACTATCTAATGGCTTTTATGAGGTTGAAAAGAAGAATACATAATGAATGGCCAACTAATGAAATTCTAAAACACAAGGAAATCCCATCTATATCAAGCTTTCCTTTGGAGGCACTGAAATATTCTCTGTCAGTTAATATGATGGTACGAGATAATAGGATACTTTCTCCATTGCACATGGAGTTGGAAACACAAGACAAAAAAAAACTTATAGGCTTGTCAAAAAAGGAACTTATTCCAATTTTCTGCCTCAAAAAGGATATTAGAAACTATTTCAGCAGATTTAGAAGGATGAGGTGCTAACCATACACTCTTACAACAAATATACATTCCTATTTTAATCTTAAGTACTGGCTTGTCATTGTGCCAATATCCTACTAAATGAGGTACTGAAAGGTAAAAGATTAAGTTTTATAGTACGATGGAGTTATTTGTGTATTTAGTATGTGTTTCATATACTCAAGTGTATTACAGCTTATATATAATACAACTTTGAACCATCTTGCTAAGCATAATTATGTAACTATTGAACGAGTATCAGAACATTCTGGTATTTCAGCCCACGAAAAGTAGTACTATAATCTCAAAACCAGTTTGTGACATAAGCTTTTGCCAGGCTAAAAGAAAAATTTAGATGGCTTATGGTGAGGATGCTAAATAATATTGGCATAATAAAAAACAAAATACTCTAAGCTGTTTCTAGGCCCTGTGAAAGAAGAAACACATTTTCACACTAGCTATAGGGGGCATCTCTAATAATAATAACGGTGATCTAAATGGGTCACAGTAAACTAAAGTCTCAAATATTTAAACTTAAGCTGGCAGGGTCATCACAGGTCCTTTCACATTCAGATCACACAAATGGGGGACCCAATGCCTCAAGCCTACATGTGGCCTCTTATAGACACGGGCGGATCTACGGGGGAGGGGAGGGGGCTTTCGGGCTGAAGCCCCCCCCCAAAATGGTAAAATATAACTATGTTTTATGGGAAAATATATTAAAAAATTATCTCTTAAAGTATTATTATTGGTGTAATTACATTTAAAAGGACTTAAGGAATCACTTAAACACCATTTCATATAGATAGCTAGTTTCTTTCTTTTTTTCCAAAGTAATTATCGCCATTTTTATGAAAAAAAAAGCTTTCGGGCTGAAGCCCCCCCAAAATTGAATCCTGGATCCGCTAGTGCTTATAGATATGTGTGGCCGTGAGATACCAGCGGCCTCTGTTACTTTTTATGTATCATTTAATAATATATCACAATAATTGATTAATATTTAATTATTTTTGCTCCAAAAATTGAGAAATAAGTTGAATGTGTGTGTTTGTAGGAGTATTTACTTATATACAAAAATAGTATCAGTAAAATATAAAAAATTACTGTGACCTCTGATAATAAAAAGGTTCCCCACCTATGGACTATCATATCATAAGTCATAAGATAAGTTCATGATGTCTGGATGTTTGGTGGAGCCTAAAGCGACTCTTTTGAGATTGTACTAAAGCTGCCCAAATAATGTTAAGTACAGTAAGTTTGTGGTGCAAAATAGGCTTGCTAAGGCCACAAGACCTCATGCCATAAAAAAATGTTTGAAATCATTAGAAATTGTGAACTAGTTTCTACTTAAATTGCGGTGGAGCTCCGTGATAGACTGAAAAGATTAATGAATAGCTACGTAAGATTTGTTATTGGTGCCCCGAGGTACTCCCATGTCTCCCACCACTACACTGAGTTAAGGTGCCTCTTTCCCTCCTTCCGAAGACAATACTTTCTAGGTACGTTCCTCTACCAAATCATCAACAACCACCGTCCTTCTTACGCCTACAACCTTCTCCAGTTCAAATCCTCAGTCCATTCCCTGTCCACAAGATCTCGACCTTCTGACCTTTACATGCCTTCTCACAGATCTGCCTCATTCCAAAATTCCTTTATTTTTCGCTCTGTCAATTTCTGGAATTCCCTCCCTATCAAAATTCGACATTCCCCCTCCATATCCACATTCAAATCCCTCCTATTCCAATTCCTATCACAAAAACAGTCAGATATTTGCTAACCATTCGAGCGGATTTCAATAGAGAATTTGATACATTTTTATTTTTTAATTTTTTTTTTTTTCGGAAAAGTGTATACTGGTCTATAAGAGCAATTAGCTTTAAGTGTCTTGTCATAGCATTAATGGTTTTGTATATAGTTTAGTTTGTTTTGTATATAGAATTTTTACCTTATATTTTTTTTACATTATTTCTTTTTTTCGATTGATTTTATTTTGGCCAGATGTTATATTTTAATTTTGTTCTATTTTGTTATTCTCAAGGGACTGTGTCCCAGAATAAAGTTATTTTTCTATTTCTAAATATCTACAAGTATAATTTATATTTATTTTAATAATAAAATATTTGGATAAAACTATAACTTTTTTCAATGGATTATATTTTGATTCTAAGGGTTCTAGGTTATCATTCAACATTCTGTTTGGCAAGTAATTTTCAATCAAGAATTCGCACACTTGTCGCATACTTATTTCCACGGTTTTTTGTTGATGAGTCATTGCAGGAGCAATATGTAAAGCAGTTCGCTAATTTTTATTTGTTAGAGGGAGGATACCTACATATTCAATCAACAAAACCTGATACAATAGGTAAGAATGATTTTTATCTAAATCTAATGATTAGGTGTTCACATGTTTTCGTTTTCTGTAAATGAATTGTTATTTGATAAGTCTATTACATAATAAATTTAAGATACTTAAGTGTTTTATTATTGTATAATTTGAACAATAAGATGAGAATATTAATATGCCTAAATTATTTTCATTAAGGTGTCGCCATGAATGATTCTCCGACAGGATTGGCAGCATATATCCTTGAAAAGTTCTCAACTTGGACCAATAAAAACTGGCGATCTCTACCAAACGGTGGTCTAGACAATTTAAACAAAGTTGAACTCATTGATCATATTATGCTATATTGGCTTACTAAAAGCATAACAACATCGATGAGGATTTACAAGGAAAATTTCAGTGGAGAATATATGAGTCTAGGGATTGAAAAGCAAGTATATATTCAATTATATTCATCTGATACTCATATAAAATTGATGTAATATTGTGTTTGAAGTAGTTGAGATGGATTTAAGTCAAAAAGATAATGAAATATTCTAAACTTGTTCTAAACTGAAATACAAGAAGAATCTTTATTTATATAAAAAGAGGAGAAGAACAGTAACTATATATTTTTTTTATATTTTATATAATAGAAAGTAGATTATTTTTTTTTTATGATTTGTAATTGATATGATTAAGTTCTAGTTGAATTTTGTTATAAGATTACTCTCATGATTTTAGAAGTTTCTGAGTTTTAAGATGGTGGGATTTTCTAACATCACTGACATTTTTCCTCAAGGTAGTATCCTAGGCCCTATCCTCTATACAGTTTATACAGCTGACATCCTTACCTATCCCAACACTGTCAATCCTACAATCACCACATATGCCGATGACACATGTATCCTATCAGTAAATAATGACCCAGCAATTGCATCCCAAATGCTTCAATCACACATCATAAATCTAGAAGGATGGTGTCAAAACTGGAGAATTAAAATAAACTCCAATAAATCCCACCAAATTACCTTTACCCTTCATCGCTAACCAACAACTTCCTGTCTTACAGTTTCCTTTAACAATACTCCACTTATTCCTGTTGAGCAAATCTGATACCTAGGACTCCACCTGGACAAACGACTAACTTGGAATCCTCATACTAGACTGAAACGACAAGAAACCGCTCGACGTTTCCGATTACTTTAGCACCTACTAGACAAACGTTCTAATCTTCCAATTAATTACAAAAGACTCATATACTTGACTATAATAAGGCCTATTTGGACTTATGGAGTTGAGCTATGGGACTCCACTAAACTATCAAATTCCTCTCGTATCCAATCCTTACAATCCAAAATCCTTTGTAAAATCCTCAATGCTCCCTACTTTGTTACAAATAAAACCATCCATAATGACCTTAATGTTCCTTTTATTTCAGATCTGGCCCAATCCAGATACCTATCCTTCCATAATAAACTTCAGAATCATCCCAACCCTCTCGTTTCTAACCTTGCTTCCTCTTCAATTCCTGATAACCCTCCGAGGCGTCTGAAAAGAAGATGGCCCCGTGATCTCCTAATGTAAACATATTAGAGTGCTACCATTGGGTAGTTACTCAGCAAGTGTTTTTCATGTCATTATATACATTATGTTCTAATTTACTAGATGTATTTATTTAATACAGTTGTAAATGTCTTTAAGAAATAAAAAAAAAAAAACTGACATTTTTAAGTTTCTACTGTTTAGTTTTCCATGGTACATTTTAAAATTAATCACCTTGAATATCGCAACTGTAGTACAACAGTGGGATATCTCAAGAACTTTTAATTTTAAATTGTTTTTAATCCTCTTACTACCAAAACAGTTTGAGACAAGTATGGACAATTGGAAAAACTGCTCTGTCATAGTTCTAATTATTGATAATTTCAGGCAAAAATAGATAATTTCTCTATTGCATCAAGGCAAGGTCAGAACTATATAGGGTCAAGGGGGCATTCACCCAGTGAACAAAATTTAGATGGTGGGGAATTTCAAACAATTTTTTTTTAGTTCAAGTAAAAAAATATTTGTTTTGTCCTTAATAGTTGTTATATTCAAGATGAATAATTAGTGATGAAATGAGTTAGTGTTGTAAGTTGACGATGTTTATTAATAATAAACCTAAACCTGATGTTCCCTAAAATATTGTTCTCACTATTTTTTTGCCTTTATATCAATTCAATAAAATAATCACATTTAGTCTATTGGTTATAAAAAAATTTTTAAAAAGTCTGCCAAATAAGGTCAGTATAGCTTCCTCACCGTTTTCATTTGCTAAAAAATATCTATATTACAAGATCTCTGAAAGAAGCCGTTTTCGGAAATTCAGTAATCACTCAACATATACAACATGTTTGATATTGACGAGTTTTGTTTATCAGCAAATGCTAAAATGCAAAAGAGTTCCGGATTTGCATATTTGATGATTCGTAGTTTTAAAAAAAATCCAGTGCAAAAGGTCGTATGTAAAAATTGAGTGTTTTACAGGAGAGCATAAAAACTAATTATTTCTTTATGATTTATTAGTACAATTTTATATTTTATTGCCATCTGCTATTTTTCATAGTAGTAGACTACTTATATCAATTGCAGAATACATAATGTCAAAAATAGAATACAAATTTAAAATTTTTACATACGACCTTTTGCATTAACAGTAATGATATATACTAAATAGGCATGTTTTCACTATGGATGCAACAAAAAATCCATAGGAAAGAAAAAAAACCTACCATTACGACCCATGAAAGGTCTTGGGTTTAGTTTGATATATTAGGAAGTACTTTTCTTGGTCAACGGTTGTGCGAGGAGGTGATCGGACCAAGATCACGCATGACAGGTTTTCCCCTTAATTAATTGATTAAGAGTACCAACTTTATAGAGGCTGGGTGTGCTTCAGGAGGATTTTCCAACCCCAGCATAGATGAAACAAAATAAATCCTTATGTGCCATCAGCCAAATTTCAACCCAAGACCTAGAGGTGTGGAAGTCAGTGCCCTACCCACTGAGCTATACCACTCCCTAGTCTATTGATCACTCTTTATTAATGTACATATCAGGGAATTTCTGTCCCTCTCTTTAGCATATAACATGCCCTAGAACTGGGTAAATCATAGTTATTAATAACTAAGACTTACTCAATTATAGAGTACATTATATATTGAAAGAGGGGGACAGAAATTTCCCAAAACATACATTAATAAAGAATAATAATAAATATTAAATATGATTATTTTATTAACTCAACCTGAAAAAAAAAAAAAATAGTGAGAAGATAATCTAGGAAAAAAGGTGAAAACTGGAAAATGGTGAATACAATATTGTTATACAATGTTGAATTTCATTGGCGGGGTTGGTGGTAGATGAAAGAGCTTAATATTAATATATTAATTATATAATTTTAATAATATATTAATTAAAATTAAGCTTGCCCCTCCTGGCAAATTACCTAGTTTCAGCCCTGCATTGAAACAGCAAAATTATAAATGTGTTGAGATTGTTGAAAAATTATTAATTCGAAAATTTATTTTCAGAAATATAAACACTGTACCAAGTGCTTGTGCTTGGTTTAAGAATGAATTACTGTATTTTCCAAAATTTGTACTGAAAGCTGCTTACAAAAATTTGGTTCAAATCAGCCACTTCCCAAAAGGTGGACACTTTTCCGCGTACGAAGAGCCAGAACTAGTCGCAGATGATATCTGGAAGTTTGTGAAAACCCTTAACACAGCAAAGAGTGCTAACTAAAAAATTTGAAAAACTGTTTCAAATTCAATTTTTTATTGAATTTGAAAATAATGTAATATTGTAAATAAATAAATGTTATGTTTGTTTTTATTTTAGTATGTTTTAGAAAAAAAAAAGAAGAAATTTCATTGTTTTTATAAATGTTACATTTGATAAAAGTGATATTAATCAAAATTGTAAAAATAAACTTTAAAAAAAAAAGCATATCTAGTTAATATGTAAGATAACTTCCCTTCTATATTAGGTTATAAAGAAACTATTTAGTGTCACATAAACATAATAATTTGTAAATAGTAGCTTTATAAAATAATTACACCTGTGATATATTTCAGTTAAAGGGGTCAAAGAGTTTTACTGTAAATATTAATTGAATAAAAGTGAATATAAACATAATGTGAACAGGTATTATGGATATAATTATTGAAATATAATAGAAGATTATAGAAGGAAGAAACACTATTGTAGAATATAAAAATGTTTGTAACGAAATTTGATTTTGTTAAGCATTATTTGTTTGAAGGTAATGTTTTAATATGAGAAGGAATTAGTCGAGGGTGCGGTCAAAAAAAAAAAAAAATTAAAATATATAAATAATTTTAATTTTTGCCGACGTTTCGACCCACTTTGCAGGTCGTCTTCAGGGCGTTGGATGTGGCACTGCGGGAGGCGGTTGAAACACTGTTTCACTGTTTCAGTGTTTCAACCGCCTCCCGCAGTGCCACATCCAACGCCCTGAAGACGACCTGCAAAGTGGGTCGAAACGTCGGCAAAAATTAAAATTATTTATATATTTTAATTTTTTTTTTTTTTTTGACCGCACCCTCGACTAATTCCTTCTCATATCATATCAACGGTCAACCATCTCTACATCATTAGTAATGTTTTAATGTGTTTTTTTTTTTTTTAATAACTGTTAAAGTATAAAAAGTATTTATTTATTTCTTACTTTGACCATTTTCCCATAAGTTGATGATAAAATTTTCATTTAGAGACTCAAAAATTTAAGATTAAAAATTATTATTTATATGATTCCAGATGTAACATCCATTGAGATCAAACTCCTTTTATATTGATTGGATTATGACTTGACATAAAAATAAATTTGTATAAAATACTACTTAGATCAAACATAGTTTTATTTTTCATAAAGATTTAAACATAATTTTATTATTCATTTTATCATAAACATAATTTTAAGGACAAATAATTTAATAACACTCTTTACATTGAATATTAAATCAAATTTATTAATGAATAACATGTCATGTCAGTGGTGCTAAGGAACATATAGATTTAGATTTCATTCAGGAATACCTTAGAAATTATCTTAGAAGTTGTTCTGAAATAAAATCGTTTAATTATATAAGTTTAATTTAGACTTTTTATCCGGTTGATAAGACAGGGTCTAATTACCCTCGAAAGGATACTTTGCCATTTCAATAAAGCAGTAGTATTTCAGTCTATACTAGAACTGTATGACCTAAAAAGATAGATCTCTGTTGCATTGCTGTGTCAGAAAATTACATGGGAGACATTGTTTTCAAGCTATATATTTTACTTCTAGTTATTTAACTGACTGTTCAAGTTACTACTATCATTGTGTCAGAGAAATGAATACATCTTGTGTTTTTAAGTTAATTTAATTACTTGCAAATAGATTCACATAATTGGTATTTTCAAATATTTCTAAAAGTAGTAATGTTTCTAATCTATATAGTTGCACAGGTCACCTAAAATATAATCAAATAAAAGCAGGGATGAAAACATTATTACACATTATAAAAGACTTACTATTTCACTCATAATTGGTGAAAAGGTTAATAGGCAATCATTTTTACGATAACAAGGTTTATAGCTTTTGTTTACTAAAAATAATGCTTTCTTTCGTTAGAATGTTTATCACAATGAAATCAAGCCATTTGGTTTGAATCACAGATTAGTCTAAATTTGATGCTATACAAGACATTATATATGGACTGGAATATCTATGTGGAAGTAATTAATATTTCACATTAGTCACATAACGGAATATGAAAAAATTGTCATGCAGAAAATAGTAATTCATGTTCTTAAGTCAGAAGATAAACTCTATCAGTAAAACCGTATTTAAAAACCTCAAAACTATAGATTTTGTGAGAAAGAGAAGTATTCCTCTTTAAAATTTATAATATAAATAATAACTAAAAAAACTGACATATAGTAATTAGAGTGATATTAAATTATAAAAAAATAAATAAATTTAAAACTATAAATTTATATGAGTTTAATTATATAAAAAATATTTAAAAGTGAGAACATCAATAATTAGTACCATAAAATGGTGAAAATATTATTTCAGTTTTGGAGGCTAAATTTATGGCATTAATAAAAAACAAACTTAACGTTTAATTTCGCATTACTTGGTACAAAAGGATTCAAGAAAAAAGATAAATCAAGTTGTCCTTGAATTAAAACCGCCATATTAAGCCATGACCCCTCTCCTTCATAGAGGTCAACTCAAAAGTTACCCATCTTGAGCTACACATAGGAGCCAGTAGATAACGCTACTACCGGCAAATTGAGTTTGAAAAAGTTTTTAGATAAAAAAAAATAAATAATTCAGTATAGAATACTGGTATGTATATTGTGAATACAATTATAGAATCAAAAATTTTAATAATTTATTATAGAAAATATGAAAGGAATATAACATGTTCAAGCAATTTGCAATTCAAAATAAAGAAGCTTATAAAATGATATAGACATACTATGGAATCATTAGTTTGTAACTAAACTATTAATCAAATAGGTTGCTAGTGATAGTTGAAAATTTAGATTACAATAATTAAATTTTAATTTATTATTGAAAACATTATTTTAAGGTTTTTGAAAAATATTATAGACAGCAATAAATACAATAATAATATCCATGAGGTTAATGATAATTTAAGATAAACTAGTATGGTATTGTTTTTTTCTTTTAAAGGATAATTAAATAACTTGAAGTGAATTAAATATTTCCAGTCATTGATCAATGTTTTAATTTTGATCTGAAAGTATATTTATAATCATAACTTAATAAGCATAGGCCAGTATTAAAAACAAAAACAGCACTAGTTAAAAATATTAACTTTATTGTATATAATAAGTGAATGAAAAAATGAGGATGAATTAAAAATTCTACATTACTGGCTTGTCAAAACAAAGTAGTTTTACAAAGAGTACCAGTTAGTTTCTACTAGATAGCGCTATTTAATGGGAACATGGGTTTACAACAGACTGCTGCTAGCTTGTAGAGGAGAATTCCTGACTTCAGCTCAATGTTGAATGGTGACATATAATAGCCTTCACAGAAACATGACCTCATAGGAATATAAGTTACACTTCATAAGGAAGACAGTGTCCATTTTTCAAGAGAAAGTTATGCTGTAATAGATAAGTAAATGACATTTTCTCTTTTTATAGTAATTCATAGTTAATGTCCTTTTGCTTAACAACTTCAAAGAACATAGTTTCAGAATTAGAACAAGTTAGTTTGTTTGATACTATTTTGTTTTGAAAACAGTTCAAAATAAGGCAATAACATTTTTTCATAACATTTGTTTGTTTAAAAATACTTCTATTATCTCTGTAATTATTGTTCAGCTATCGGTATGTAATTATTCTACTTAGCCAAAATTAGGAATAGACAATTAAAATTAATTATTGTATTTATAAATATAAATGCCTATAAGTTATAATTATAGCTTATTTATTTAGTATTAAAAGTACATTTAATTTCAATTGACTTAGTGTTCTGCAGTTTTGAAGAAATTATAAATAATGACTTAAACATCAATAGAAAAATAATTAAATTTAAATTTTATTTTTTAGAATAGTTTCTCAATCCACCAGAAATATTTTAACATATTAATTATTCCTTTTAAAAACATATTTAATGTGCTTTTTTAAAAACACAAGAAGAGACAGTACTTTATAGACAGTTTCAAATATAGAACAGTCTTGTATAATGGGTTTCACTGTATAGTGAGTTCTCGCACGTCTACCTACTAAGAGGACTGATCATCCTCCAAGCTGCTAGAGCTGCAATCTCCAAAGAGCAGTAAAACACATTATACAAGACTGTCCTATATTTGAAACTCTTAGGAAAAAATTGAACATGGCACAAAGCCTAAAAGAAATCTTTAACGTTGAGGAAATTACTGTTAAAAAACATTAGAATTTTTAAAAAGAATTAATTCTATAACAGAGTGTAAGAAAAGGTATTGTCAATGATCCTTCAGGATAGAGGCAACAAAAAATAAAAAAACAATGAATGAATTCTAATAATTTATTTGATTAATTAACTAACTAGTAAATACAAAAGTCCACAATACTTTAAATAAATATTTGTTTTTTAATAAAAAGTTTCTGTTCTTTTCAATGACATTATCTTTTGTGATATTACTGGGGTTAGTCAAAAGTAATTATGAATAAATTCATCTTTTGCAGGATTGACTTGTTAATTTTTATTAAAGTTTCTGTAATTTTGTAAACTTTATCTGCTATGAACAATAAATATTGAATTTAAACTTACCAGTATCAATAAATATCCTTTTATTTTTAGTAGAAGGCCAATATATGTTTTACTTAATAATATTTTTGTCCCACTGGATATGTACCCATATCCATATATTCTGCTGAATATTAATACTTGAAAGTTTTTATGCCTCATAATTGTATTTTATTCTCAATGAAATATTTCTATTATTTTTTTTTCTATTTCTTTTCAGCGTGTATAATCATGTTTGGGAATTAAAGCATTGAATTAAGAACGTATTTGAAAAGTTTATAAGAAGTCATGGACGGTGATTGTGGTGGTGATGGAGGATTTAGCAGTAGTGGAGATGGAGGATTTAGCAGCAGTGGCGATACTGGGTTCAGCAACAGTGGTGATGGAGGAATTAGCAGTAATGGCGATGGGTGTTTCAGCAGCAGCGGTAGAGATGGATTGTTCGGGAGTAGCGGTGGTGCAGATTATAGCAATGACTCCAAATTTTATTCTATTGACCAAGGGGAAGACAATCATACTAAGTGGAATCAAGGACCCTTCATCACATCATGCGACGAACCTGATAAAGCTTACATTATGGTAATTCACTTTTTAATATTCAGTAAGAGAGAGATTTTGATAATATAAATAAAGACCGGGTTTATATACTGCATTAGAAAGTATAATACTAATCAGTACAATACATCATCAAATCATATTATTTACAATAAATGAATGATAAAATGATTTCATTTTTTATGCTTTTCATATTATTTTAACTTCAAATAGCGACTTTCTTTCTGGGAACCTCTGAGGTTCAGTTTTATTCTTTCTTTATTAAATGATAATTTTAATAATTGTGGGTCACCGATTTCAAATATTTTTTTTATGATACTACATCGAATAATAATGGACACATATCCTGGCATTCATTTCAATGGACTCTAGGAGTCAAGAAAAAAAATATATTTTATATAATTTCTAACAAAATATATATTATTTTGTTCGAATTTTTAGGATATTATATATCAATCGATTTCTTTTTTGTGCAGAATAAGAAAAATATATTGACTATTGTATTAAATGAGTTATAATGTACCACAAATTATAAAAAAAACAATTTACCAAAGTCTTAAATAAGAATGTTTATAGAAACCAAAAATTACAAAATTTAATATTTGATTTTCTAAAAAAAAAATGTCTTGGCCGATAACTTAAGCATTCATAACTTCTCAGGATTTTGTCTAAATTCAACGTTGGTACAACCATTGAAAAGCTGAATCACTGCCCTTTCAGCTCACATCAATAACTTTTAGAATTCTTTTTTTTTTTGTTTAAGCTACTTGGACTTATTAGTACAATGTATATTTAACAGTTAATGATGAATTATACACTTTAAATTAAGTCTGAGTCATTAGATTCATTCTGTTGATTAAAGTCTTGAATTATAACATGTTAGTTATTTTTTTCTGTAGGAAGATGGAGATAATGATAAAAGTCATGGTTTATCCAACATTATGTATCAAACATTGGCAGCTGCTTCGTTCACTAAAGACCCCTTACCTAATGAGAATGGAGAAGCACCAATGAGCTTGTTACTTGATGATTCAGCAGATCTTCAAGAACAGGCAGATGGCGCTGGTCATGGAAATGGAAATGGTTGTGCAGATTTCTTCTATTATTATTCACTATGCTGCTGTACAATAATGTAAAACTCTTTATCATCAGCTTTATTACTATGTAATTGTGATATGTGCTTCAAAATTATGGTGCTTTAATCTAAGCTTTAGAATAAGTGTCTTTCACATCATATATGTTAAGATTAAAACATATTATAAATTGTAAGCTGAGCTTACTTATTTTAAGAGATATTTTTGTGATTAAATATAGTTTTATATTTTTGAAATAATAAATACATTAGTATTAAAATTTTTAATATGATTATGAAGAGAAATATTTTTATGAGATTAAGGAGAAAATGATTCCTGTATTTTATTTTAAATTATGTTTACTGATATTTTATTTTATGAAAAAATTAGGTTTAAGAACATCACATTTTTAAACTATTAACATTAATTACTATCTTATAGAATTAAAACATTTGGTTCCTGCATTGTGTAGTTTTTCATGTGCAGTCAACACTTCCTAACTTGTCAATTACAATGGCTAAATTAATACTTTTTTTTCTGTTTGTGAACCTGGCAAATCATTAATATTTTTCTTTTCTAATTTTTCTTCTTAACCCTTTAACAGTATTGGGCTCATTTATCAGTCGAGATGGAAGCTGACCCAGATGATGGCGGACCCATATATGAGTAGAGAACTTATTGGGCTAATATAATAACATATTTCAGTTTTTTTTTTTTTTTTTTTTTTTTTTTTGAGAGAGAGAGAGAGAGATGAGAGAGAGAGAGAGAGAGAGAGAGAGAGACATATTTATACAAAACATATAACAGTTTTAGTTTTAATTTTTGACTCATTTAAGTGTACAAAAAGTCAATCTTATACAAAATAAAGGTTTAAAAGTTCACATTTTATAAAAGAAATTGTAAAGGTCATGTTGAAAAAATAAAACATTTCAATTGTAAAAATTTAGATAAAAACGAAAATAAAAAATTTAGAGGGATGCCCAAAATTAAAAGGCTGAAGTAGTGATAAAAAGTATTCAGTTACAAAGAGGCTGAGAATTGCCGTCCTTAAGGCCACTCCTTTCTTCCTGCTCATCGTCATTAAAAGGCTAAAGTCTTTTACTAACTACTATAGTGAGATCTAATCAACATAAGACCAAGAGTTCTTTATCCAAGCCATTCTGCCTATCTAATCATCTAGTGTTGAGTTCTCCTTAAAATTATTCCCTTACATCTTCCATGATCTTCCCTCTGCTTGGATTTCATATATTTGCCTATGCAAATTTTCTATGATCCTCCTAATTAAATTCCATGATTTTATGAAGAAGTTAGATTTAGCTGAAGTTCACACAAGTAACAGAACAAACCTGCCAGACATATCATAACCACAGAAAATGAGAAACACTTCCTACTGGTTTATAAAATGAAAAAAACTTTAAATCTGATAAAAATCTAGTTTAGAATTAATATTGATATTTATAATAGATGAGATGCATAATTGGGTATTCTCTATTTTTATAGCATTTTAAATATGGAAATTTAAAGACAACAATAGATGATTATAAATGTCTCACAAAATTTAGTATTCTATTAAGGAATTGTTTTCCTTCAAAACGGTTTCTACCCATTTACTTCTGTATGTCATAAAGCACTGATGGTAATGTAATTTCCCTTAATATTTTCCCATATTGAAGAGAGAAAAAAAAGGCTATTGATCGTTCTTACCTTTTAAGAATAAAATCATTATATAAAAAAAACTATTTGTGACCATTTTAAATTAAGAAATAATATGAAGACTCATAATTTAAACTCAGAGTGGTACATAACAGAAGCTATTCCTTTTTAAGAACAATAATTCTCTTGTTCAGGATAATTCAAACAAAACATAAAATTTCATTAATGACATATAAGATCTCATGTTTCATTCAAATAATAAATAAAAGTAGTTTTGTCACCTATTTAATATTTTAATAACAATGGCTTCATAACTGTTTTTAATGTGATTTTTTTTATTTGAATCAAAACACCCATGAGATACCTCTATGGCTTTAAAATTGGTGAAAATAAATTTTAAACTTGCCTACGTAGAGGATTTCCATTATGACGCCACAGAGAAATGAGATAAGATATTTCATTTTTGTATACCCTCTTCTTTTAGTAAATCATGATTTGTGCTACCTCTTGCTAGAATTCTGTACCCATTTCTATTCACGAATTCTCAGCAATGTTTTGTTTTTTAACACTACTCATTTGTTCACATACTTTTTTTTTTTTTATTTATTTATTTATATGATATTTACAACTGTATACAAAAAATACATCTGCTAAATTCGCACATGGATATAATGACATGGAACACATGTTGAGAAACTACCCATTGGTAGCACTCTAATAATATGTCTATATTAGAAGATCACGTGGCCATCTTCTTTTCAGACGCCTTGGAGAGTTATTAGGAATCGAATAGGAAGCAAGGTTAGAGACAAGAGGGTTGGGATGGTTATGAAGTTTATTATGGAAGGACAGATATCTGGATTGGGCCAAATCTGATACATAAGGAACATTAAGGTCATTACTGATAATTTTATTTGTAACAAAGTAAGGAGCATTGAGGATTTTAGGAAGGATTATGGATTGTATGCGAGAGGAATTTGAAGGTTTGGTAGAGCCCCATAGCTCAACTCTGTAAGTCCAAATAGGCCTTATTATAGTCATGTAAATGAGTCTTTTATAATTGATTGGAAGGTTAGAGCGTTTGTCTAGTAAGTGTTGAAATAGTCGGAAACGTCGAGCTGTTTCTTGTCGTTTCAGTCTGGTATAAGGATTCCAAGTTAGACGTTTGTCCAGACGGAGTCCTAGGTAACGGATTTGTTCAACAGGAATAAGTGAGGTGTTGTTAAAGGATACTGAAGGACAGGAAGTCATTGGTTTATGACGGTTCACATACTTAATTATGTAAATATCATACCAATGAAAGAAATTGATATTAATGTTATTAAAATCATTATTATTAGATAACTACGTTCCATATGTAAATATAATCTACATTCCATATATAAATAAAATTGGCTATATTATAGCCAAACAAATATACACTAGATATGAGCAATGCTCATATTGTCACAAAATGAAAATATTTTGTATTAGCTCAAATGTGACTCGGTGCTCTAATAGTCCATGGTACGGAATCCCTTTTATCGAATTATTAACGTCTGCCTGAAACTTCATAAATAGTTTCATCTCATCGTAACCTACAACTATTTTATTTACGAAACTCTTGTAATTGAGGTATTTTCAATCTGGAGGGGAGAAAACTTAGTCTATTTAATTAGCTACTAAAAACTCGTAAATACCCATTTGTTTTCTTCTTGGATCGTAAGATAATTTGACCACAAAATCGATAAAAAAAGGTGGCCTTCAAAAATATTGAGCCGTTTAGCATGACCTACACTCCCAAATTTTCAAAATAACGAGGTTATATTGAACAAACAGTCCAATATTTTTGTAGGCCACCTTTTTTCTCGATTTTGTAATCAAATTATCTTACCATTAAAGTAGAAAGCAAATGGGTATTTACAAGTTTTCAGTACCTATTAAATAGACAAAGTTTGCCTCCCTCCAGATTGAAAACATCCCAATTTCAAGAGTTTTCGTGAATAAAATATTTGTAGATTACGATGAGATGAAGCTATTCACAAAGTTTCAGGCGGATGTTAATGTAATTCCATAAAAAGGGGTCTATACTACTACAGACTATAAAATTAAGTTATTTATATCAAAACTCCTTTGTAAGTTATGCAAGTATGTGTAGTCAAGCTGTATTGAAGTGTCCTCTGGAAGATACCTAATTGGATTAATTGAGTTTAGTTCAATAATGACCATTTAGTCCAATGATTGACAAAATATTCATTTCAGTAAATCTTTGTAATAGTTATATAATAGCTTAGCATTGACATTTAGGAGCAACATTGCCTATATCAATTTTTAATATTATGATAAGCAAACCTATTTATGAAAAATTTCCGACTGAATCTGAAGACAACATTAGTTTAACAAAATTCAAATTAATTTAATAAATAAAATTAAACATAATATATAAGTGTGTGTGTGTTACTTCTACAGTGGCAATATAATTTTCATTCAAGGTGAAGAGAATAAATCAATTAAGATATTGATGAACAACCACAGGACAAGTATTTTCAAATATTGCGTCAAAAATTCAAATAATTAAAACTTTTCAAAAATTATTATTTAATAATGATTTCAAAATTCGATAACTTTAACCTTTTCAATAATTCAAGAGCATAATCCGCTATCTGCTTAAAATTTGTTAACAAAACTGGTATGAAGTTTCCAGCGATGAAGATATCCAAAGGAAAAAATATTTTAACAGTCATTTTTGTTTTCCTACTTTAAATAAATACAATTTATTTTATAACATATACAAATTTAAGGCATTTTTTTTTATTGTTTTTTTACAATTATCAATATTTATAAATAAATTATAATGCTAATTTTACTACGGAGCATTGGTTTGTTGGTTTTTACTATCTTCTGTAACTTGTTCAGATTCTATTATGCTATTGAGAGATGCTTCAAACTCTGGAACCTCAATAAACTTCCTTTTACTCCCAACAGGAGGTCCCAAAAGCTTTTCAATGTCTGTATAGTTGAGCGTTTCCCGTTTAAGTAATTCTGCTGCCATCTAAATGAACATAAATAATAGAAATTGAATATACAATTCACTTTTAACACTCAATAAAAAGTAGCACTCATTATGTTGATTTGATGGGATTATGTTAAAAAAATATTATAAAATGGATGTTCTGTTAATAAATAAAAAATTTAGAAGTGATAGTAGCAACAAATCATTCAAGTAGACCATTTCAAATAAAAAGGAAAAAAATCAAACTTTGTGTTGTTTTGATCCATTTTTTCTCTTTGTCACTTGGAATAAGCTGTTAACTCGTAATAAATGTTGCAACAATCATCATTTGTTCCAAACCTTAATTTCTTTCTTCAAATTATATAAACAGTGGTATAGCTAATTTTTTTAATATATATTTAATCTAATTGTAGCCATTTATATATTAATTTTTAAGACTATTATATTTAAATTTAATTAACAGCTAATTGTTGGAGTAGTAATTAACAGTTCTTTAATTGGAAGTTTCGGTAATATGAATCACAAATCATTATTTTTATTGAGACTTTTTCTATAGTTTCAGAAGTTACCAAGAAAACTATTAAAATTTCTTTTCCCTTTCTGAGTTCTTCTTCTTCAAGATCTTTCCTCTCCTATAGCAGCACAGTGTGAGGCACCTTTTAATAGAGCTTGATCCATAAATCCTTGTCGTGTAGCAGCTATTTCCTCCTGTTTCACTCCACACCCGATCTGTGGAAGGCCTCTTTCAACCCTTCCTAGGTCTACCTTGGTCTCTTTCCCTTTCTGAGGTAGCTTCTTCATAGATAGCTATGGAAATACGATTCACAGAAATTCGAGACAATGTCTGAACCACCCAATTAATGTTCTTCCGATATTTCCTTGATTGGTTTCATACTAAGACTCGCACATTAAATCATAGTGTTCCTCATACGGCCCCATGTTGTCTGCCCTCAACCTTCTTAAGATACCTAATGCCTATTACTTGGATCTGATTTTTGTGTTTAGTGATGAGGATCCAAAATTCACTTGCATATGTCAGTATCGGAAGGAATGTGTTTTTATAGACCTTAAATATAGGAAGCCAGTCTTCAGGGCATTGAAGCATTTTCCCACTATTCTTATCCTCTCCTTTATCTCACCATCAACCTAACCATACTCATTCGATTAAACCTTAATAATCTGTATACACTGTCATTTTTCCCTGCTATCCTCATAAATTTTATAGATTTTTTAAAAATTAATTTAATACTGTATTTATTTTCTTTAGCTCTTCTTGGAGGATACAGAGATTGAATTGGAGGTTTCTACATTTTCTTAATGGAAGTGGGGTAGCTCAGTGATAGGCCACTAAGCTTCCAGTGCTCAAGGTCTCAGGTTCAAATCCCGGCTCATGGCAGAAAAATTATTTATTCTGTTTCATCGGCCCTGGGATCAGTAGATCTTCCTGAGGCACACCCAGCCTCTATAAAGTGGGTACTCTTATTTAAATAATTAATTAAGGGGAAAAACCTGATGGTTGAGCATGATCTCAGTCAAATCATCTCCTTACACAACTATTGACCAAGAAACAATACTTTCCTTAAATAGTACTGCAACCTATCTTCAAGGATTGTAGTGGTACAGGTTTTTTCTTTATTTTATTTTTTATTTTGCTCTTCTTGGAGGATACAGAGATAGTATTGGAGGCTTCTACAATTGCCCCTAAATATAAAATCAGGTTGTCAGCAAGAGTTAGTATTGTGTACGTTACTTTTTAGAATCTCCTGAAGCCCAGTTGAAACAGTCTTACGTTTAGTACAGATTTTTTGAGTATGATGTCGAGGATAATTATGAAAAGGAGCAGGCTTAAACTGAAATCCAGCCTGATGCCAATACTGGTCACGAACTCTTTGAAGGTGTGGTGGCAAATTTCCACGTTTATGGTATAGGCTAAGAATTGCTAGTCTTAATCCCACTTCTACTCCTTTTTCTCTCAACAATGTTCTGTATCTAATACTTTAGCTCTGTCGAAGGGTTTGGACAAGTCAATGAAACAAACATAAGCTATCTTGTTCCTCTCAATGATCTTCTCAGAGATCTGACTAAATGTAAATCTTGACAGCTTCTAGTTTGCCTGAATCCGTATTGCACATCGTCGATAAGTGGTTCAATAGCTGTTCTGAAGAGTTTCTCTAGGATTTTAGAGTAAACTTTGCTTGTGAGGCTGAGTAGAGACACCTCTATGGTTCTTGTACATTCTATTATTCCTTTTTTTTTTTTTTAGATGGAGACTATTACCAATATTTCCCAGTTTTTGGATATCTTTTTGCATTTCCAAGTAAGGTTCAAGAAGTATTGGACAGTTTCAATGCCACCTTCTCGAAGGTATTTCATCATCTCTGGAGTTATGCCGTCGATACCTGGAGCTCATCCCAGTTTCAAGGAGGTTAATTTTATTTCTTGTTTCACTTCCTTATCCACCAGAATGTCTACTTGACTCTTGAGCCAACCAGACTTTTCCCACATACTGTTCCAGCACTGTCCAATACTATTTTCTTGAAAGTGCTCCAGCTTACCTCTATATTATCAGAATCCCAAGGATAATTCCAGGATACTCTTTTTCTTCTATTGCCTTTTGGTCAGCTTGGGCAACTTCTTGGTCTTTCAGCATAAAAGTATTTATTTTAGAACCTCCCTTAAAGAATACCATTATTTTCCTTTATCTTCTTTGTAGCTTATTAAAAAGGAAGATATTCAATAACATGTGGTCTCTGCCTATTTCTGGTCCCCTCATGACCCTGATGTTAATTATATTTTTTATTTCATTTGTTCGGATCATGAACTAGTCGATAGATTTTTCATTTCCCCGGCTCTACTCTACTGTACTGGTGCGTACATTTCTGTCAGCAAGACAAAAGTTGAGTTATAAGTTTTAATGTTTTTTTAATTTAGTTTTAACAGTTCAATCATAAAACATAAAAATGTGTACTGATTAAATTTTGATAAATAAAACATTAATCATTAACATTAGGCACAAAAACAGAAATTTTAAACTGTTTAGAGACAAGGATTAAATATGTCCAAGTCAACTGTACACGCTAAACACAAAATTTAAATTTTGTTGTAGTTTGTATAAACTAGTTTTTATGCACATAACTATAATTACAAAATAAAATGTCATTTTCTAGATTACATATTACATCTAAATATTTATTTATCCTACTTTCCATGATTTCCTTCATTCAAAAATTTTTGATGAACATATCATTCATGGTAAGTGGAATATGATTCAATCGTACTTCCCTAAGAAAAATCAGGAAATATTTTATTAATAAAAGAAAACTTCAATGACATAAAACATAAAAATTACATTTAACGATAAATTATATCTGCAGCACCTGTGAATAAGGGTTTAGATACAAATTTGTCTATTTCAAATTTTAGCACAATTTTTCCAGTAATTTCCCAGTATTCCTGTAAATTTTCCTGGAAATTCCAGTAACCTCAAATTTTCTCCAGTAAAATAATGCTTCGGCCTACATTGGAGGTCAATTTATATTTGGCTTTGAACTAAGGAAATTTGAGTTCGACCAAACTCACCATTTTTAAATCACTTCATAGTTTATTTTATATTCCGAATTTGTGATAGGAGGCAATGCAGTTTATAAATTGAAATAAATCATTTTTAAGTTAGTAAAAGTTAAAAATAGAAACAAAAAAGTACTATATTTGTGTTCTTACATTATTTTTATTTTAGTAATACCATAACTTGTTCAATTTTGTTATATGCACACCTGTAGTATTTCCAGAAGTATATCGATCAAAGCATGCACAAATATAATAGGTCCACCATAGTTAACAATTTAAAAAAAAAAAAGTTATTTTTAAAGTTAAAAATGTTATTTTCAAAATAATAAATTGCTACTTAATGCATACATTTTGACAAAATATCTTCATGTTCAAAATCTTGTTTTTGTCCTTTTTAAAAGTTTACAAGCATGGAAATACTTATTAATTATGGTTTTAGCCACCAATATGGCTGGCTGCATTTTTAACTCAATTGATATAATTCAAAGCCATTGATAAACACAACCTAGCATGAACTTTGGTAGAATGATTTGGAATGATTGAAATGATGGAATTTTGGTAGAATGATTTGGTAGAAAAATATTTCTATAGTAACCTACAGAAAAACTTCTCTAACCTTTACAGCACTTCCCAATAATAGAAGAGGGTTCACTCACCGTATTCAGTTTATCCCTGTTTTTCAAAAGAATTTCTTCAGTAAATCTGAATGCTCGGGATACAAGAGTTCTAGCTTCAAGGTCAATCCTTCCTGCCAACTGTTTACTGTATGGCCGTTTTCCCTCGGACTCTCCACCTGGAGGTACGTATGATAACAGACCAATTTTCTCACTCATACCGAATCTGCGTACCTGTATTTAATTGTATAATTTTATTTCTCGATAACAAATTTGCACATATATATTATAAAATAGAAAATATTATATTTTCAAAGTGATAATGACATATTCAACACATATAACTCCTGATTTTGCTCACCATTGCATAAGCCAAATCAGTAACTTTTTTTAAATCCTTCTCAGCTCCAGTAGAAGATCGGTTAAAAGTAATTATTTCAGCAACACGACCTCCAAGAGCCATACACATTTTTGCAAATAACTAAAAACAGCAAATTAAAAAATAAAATAAATAATTCATTGATTATATTTAATATTCTCTTAATCTATGAGGGATCTACTGAAAAATGATGAAATTTCATTTTTTTTCTGATTTCCCCCCAAAAAATTAAACCCTTCACATTTCATAATTCACATAAACATTTCATAATTTCAGAGTAATTTTCATATAAAAAAAAAGTCTGCCAAGTAAGGTGACTATAGTTTCCTCACGGTTTTCATTGGCTAAAAAATATCTATATTACAAGGTCTAAAATTTTTCGTATGAGAATAAAATCTCTGGGAGAAACCGTTTTAGGAAATTCAGTAATCCCTCAACATATACGGGTTTGATAATTTTTTTTCATTGAATACTAAAATGCAAAAAAGTTCCGCATATGCAGATTGCATATTTGATGAATCGGGATTAAAAAAAACATCGAGTGCATACTAAACATGAATATCACTACTGTTAGTGCAAAAAGTCGTATGTAAACATTGAGTGTTTTACAGGAAAGCATAAAAACTAATTTCCTCTGCTATTGTTCATCTTAGCAGAATGCTTATATCAGTTGCAGAATACAAAATTTCACCTTTAGCACAAATAGAATTAAAATTTTTGCATACAACCTTTTGCACAAACAGTATTAATATGTACTTAATCAGCATGTTTTCACTCGTAAAATCGATTTTATAAAAACTCCATTAGAGAAAAGAGAAAAACATAACTTTTTGTTTTTTCAGAGTTAACAAGACCAATACTTTTCTTCAGTCAGAACAAAACTATTTAAGCTGGAATATAAAAATATTTGTAAAAATCAAACATAAACTTGATTCCACAACGAGCTGGTTGAACTTCAATAGAAATAAACACAATCACAAACAAGATTTTTCTTTTTTACAAACTTAGAATAAAAATTAATTTAAATTTATTGAAAATTACACGAAATCTAAGTAACGGCAGTAAGCATCATTCCAGTAATGTTTGTATTCGACAAAACAAAACAGAACAATTCAACTATTTGAATAAAACCTAAAATTTTATAGCCCTATAACAATATTGTCATAACCTAACTCCCACTCCATATGATCAGTGCATTTCACATTTCACTGCCATTATATTGTTAACAATTATTTATATTAATTTTAATTATTACATGGAATTCATATTAGGAAATTTTTATACTATTCTCCAAATTTCCTTGAAGTTTGGGTCAAATTGAACGCGTCAAATTAATTCAATTTTGAAACCATAGGCTTGCCAAATAATACATTATAATACGGAAGGGAAAGTATTTTTTCCATGAGAAGTGGATATAATCTAATAAAATTCATATCTACTTGATTATCTGTTTACCAATCCCTATCTTCCCTCCAAATTTGAGTCAAAACATGCAGTTTTAGAGATATAGACATATTAAGGCAATCACGTTTGTGCATATATATGAGAACTTAGTGGACAGAATTGACATTATGTTATTTTTTCACCATTACCTACCTTTACTTTATCTAACTTTGAGCCAAATAAAAGGAGCCCTTTCTGAAATATAGGCATCTCTAAAAAAATACGTATTTTTAATATCCCATAAAACTATCCCTGAAAATCGGATGAATGGTACTAGGTGATATGCCTGTCACATCGATTTGACTACAGACAGACAGGCACCGAACCAAATTTGATCCTTGATGTCTGAAACGTAAAACAGGAGTGGAAATTTTCGATTCTGAGCACATTTTTTTTAACCTCTCGCACGAACACAATACTTCCTTTCCTTCGGTAGTGAGGAAGCAATAAATTCAATAAATAAAGAGTAAACCACGATTCAAAAATCCTCATTTATTAATATAAACGAAATTTCAAATTCGAGCTTAAACTACTTAAAATTATTTATAAGTAATACATAATAGACTCATTCAAAATATTTAATTTCCATTTTAATTTATGTATGTTATTATCACAATAAATTAATGTCATGATTAAGCAAGTAAAAAATAAATTTAAATTAGCAATTTTAACTGAGTTTAAATCTATTTTTATGCAGAACTTCTCTGTAAACAATGTTCTTTTTGAATGTTCTGTTATTATTTAGTACATAGTATTGCCCATTGGCATTGGAAATATAAACTTCAAAATTTTAAATGAACATCGCGCTCTATTTGCTGCCTGTAATTGCTGCCCATATAATTGTCCATACGAAATTACTGGACGTCGCAATACATAAATTATTCCAAAACTTTGATCCTGTAATATGATTATGGTCATAGCAAATGCAGCTATTAATAAGAATGTTGTACTTTGAAATTCGAATGGAAGTATTGTGTCAGAAAATATTAAATTAATTCTTGGAATTAAAATTCTTTTGATTAAAGTAGTTCCTGTCAGTACTTCAGTCTCATTTGTGTTCCATTAACTAATGCTTGTGCAGTATTTAAGTTAGGAATGAGTATAACTATAGAATTTATTTTTCAATTTAATTTATGAGATAACATTCCACTAACATTCAATGATACCATATCTTCAGAAATCAAATCAAACATCTTCAAATAATAGTCCCAATTACTTCATTAAATGTAAAGTTTTCCATTTATCAAAAATCAAAATAAAGAAAATCGACTTCGCAAAAGAAAAAGTACTAAATGCTTAAAACGATATATCTCTCATAGATATATGCTCTATAACGATTTCGATGATTATTTTTTTCTGTTTGTAGGGAATTCAGGAAGCTTTCAAATAAATATTGGTATTATCAATAAAAAAATTTGTATTCGTTTTTCGAATTCTACATATCCTGAAATGTAAAACCTCAAATTTTGAGAGGGGGTTAAGTTTTTGAATTTTTTGGTCGATCACAATGGTTCATTATTGAAAATAATAAACCTAAATGTGTACTTTGTGAGTTATTCGCAAATAAAATAATGAATTCATCATAAAACTTTAAGCAGCTTGTTTTCGGAAAAAAATAAATTATAAATGTTTCAAGGGGAAGACTTTAGCCAAGTTTAATTACAATCGTTAAAGCTGTTTTGGCACTACAGTCTAAAGCGACTCACGTTTTTTGGCCGCCATTTGGAAAGGAAAGGTCTGATGATAATGAAACATGTACAAAAACACTTCTCAATATTATTGCGACGTGTCAAAATTTCAAACAAAATCGGTGAAGAACTTTCGTAGATTAGCTGTTTTGAACAAACTACCATTTATATTTTTATTTACACACTATTTCATATTTTTATTTATTAATAACACTAAAGCTCGTCAACAGCTATTAAACAAAAAAATAAGAAAGAAAATCAGTTGAATAATAGAAGAGAAAAAGGGGCTGAACTGTTTTGTATTTGTCTATTTATGTAATGATTTAAAAACTTATACACAAAGACAACAAATAAATTATGATAATTAGCTTTAAAACTCAGATAAGATTGGAACAAAATATGAATAGTACTAACTATGTACTATTTACAGAAAAAACACATACCTCCTCTTTTGAGTACAGTTTTTGTTCTTGATGACTATATTGGGAAAATCCAAGAGAAAGATTTGTTCTAGGCACTATGGTTACTTTAAGAAGTACACTGGCGCTTGGTGTTAACCAACTCATCAATGCTCGGCCAGATTCATGCATAGCTACAACTTTTTTTTCTTCCAAGGGCATAACAGTCGATCTTTTTTCAGTCCCACCTACGACTCTCTCGACTGCATATTCAAGATCAGCCCGTGTAACAGTAGCTTTGAGGTCTCTAGCCGCATGAAGCGCTGCTTCATTTACAACATTCGCAATATCAGCACCTGTTATAATACATAATATATTTGAAAGTATAGCTTGTTAAAACTGTTCTAAAAATATGACTATATAATATAAAATTATACTATCATTATTTATATTTTAAAAACTACCTTTTAACAGGAATAAGACAAAATAATTACTTTTTCAAATTAGGAAAAGAGTTCATAGCACTTTGACAAGTTCACGGAGGATTTTGGTTAGAAGTAAATTTATTAAAGTTTATTAAAACTACTGCAAAAAAAATTATTTTCCTACAATTATTAACAGTGACACCACTAACCACTGAATCCTGGTGTGAGCTGTGCCAATCTTCTGGAATACACCTTTGGTTCATGATCCAATCTAATTCCCTTAAGATGATAATCAAAAATTTCAATTCTTTCATCTAACGTGGGATAATCAATGAGAATGTGGCGATCGAATCTTCCTGGTCTAAGCAGAGCCTAAAATAAATTTTGAGTTTATAAATACAAGAATATAATGAAGAGAAGAATAGTTGGGGTGCTCAGTCAAAAAAGGAAGGCAAAAAATAAATTATAATATTTATTTTTTACATATGCCGACGTTTCGACCTGAAGTTCAGGCCATCATCAGGGCTAAGAAAATAACCAGATAACAAGGTATGAGAAACATAAGTAATGATGGTAACGCATACACGCATATATGCGATACACGCATATATGCGTGTATGTATGTATGTGTGTGTATATATATATGTATATTTATGTATATATGATATATTTTTATTTCAATTTTTCTTCCTTATTACTCAATAGTTATTTTTCTTTTGAATTTTTCTTTCACTTTCTATTAACTTTCGTTCAATATTCCATAATTTTTCTAAATAATATATCTCTCGTACCTATTTAGGCTTCTAGCATTCTTCTAGTTCAAACTTCGTCCGATAACCGTTAGAGATGACGCCACCTCCACATCCCTTCTCTCTCCACCTTCTTTGTAACGACTTTATTCTCCCCTTGACACTTAAGGAGAAAGGTAGTACTTCTTTTATTTCTTTCTTATTTCAGCTTTCTCAATTTCTTCCCTCCTTCCTTTCATTCCTTTTCTCTGTTGTTAACTCTCTATTATATTATACATTGTCTGTACATCTTGATAGACTTTACAATATCTCAATTTTCTATCTAACTACTCCATTCTCAATGTTTTTAATTTTACTATTTATTTTATTCTCATTTCTTATATAACTTTATATTTCTTTTTTATGTTTTTACATTTTATTCTAAGATTCCCAATGTAACACTTTTGTCACCCCCTTTTTGATTATGCCTACTTCATCATTCCACACTATGTAACAGTCTGTATTATTTATCTCTTAGTTCTTAGTCATTATTCTAACAATTTCATTTTACTTTATATCTATCTATTTTATTTTTCTAATATTTTATTTAGATCTATTTTATCTAGATCTAATCTATTTTATTTTCTCATTTTTTATTATCTTTTTTACCATCATTACTTATGTTTCTCATACCTTGTTATCTGGTTATTTTCTTAGCCCTGATGATGGCCTGAACTTCAGGTCGAAACGTCGGCATATGTAAAAAATAAATATTATAATTTATTTTTTGCCTTCCTTTTTTGACTGAGCACCCCAACTATTCTTCTCTTCATTATCCACGACAGTCAACCAATTACCAATTATTACAAGAATATAATTTTTTTAAAGTTTAAAAACCTATCCTTAGATACCTAAAATCAATTAATAAAAAGGTGAATTAATGGATTTATAACAAAAATTATTAAGGGTAAGTACAAAAAAAAACTTCCACCAATGTTTTAGTTGATAAAATAGTATTAATTTATTAACACAATTAGTAAAAGGAAATTTTTCATTATTTGAGTTGCGACACTTAGAGATCCATCTTATGCTTTGTTAAAACAAGAAAGAAACAGCTAATGTTTAAATAAAATGAAAAAATGTTTCATAAAAAAATTATGAAAGCATACAGCATCCACATAAGTTTCACCTGGTTAACATTTTATTCAAACATTTAGTTTGACAGTTAACACTTTATACACATTTCAACTTTATATTAATGTTAATTATACTGATTAACATTTCTTTCTTTTATAGTGTGTACAGAGTATATTAATATATTGTTTTCTTATTATCTTTTTCCACCAATTTGGATTCCGCACATCTCATTCCACTATCCAGCAATGTCATCGTGTGGTGGACGTGGTCTCCTCTGCATTGGAGTGTGGATTGTACTGCACGGGAGTCTTTCTCAACGTTGAACAGGTGTTTGATAGGGTCTGGCACCTGGGACTGATGTACAAAATCTGTAAATTCCTACCACCTACATACTTCCTCATTAATCCGCTCCTACCTTACTGATAGATGCTTTAAAGGAAATCACAAAAACTCTTATTCATCCCTTTTTCCCTAGTTTGCTGGTGTTCCTCAAGGTAGTATCCTTGGTCCTATAATTTACACAGTTTATACAGCTGACATCCCAATTCATCCTGACACTGTCATCACCACATATGCTGATGACACATAAATCCTATCTGTTAATAATGATCCATCAACTGCATCCCAAACTCTCCAATCTCATATCACAAACCTTGGTTTGTGAGGTATGTAGAGAGGTATATCTACACAACCATATTTTTTTATTTTTAGCAGTTTCCATTGTATCCTAGCAAAATAAGGGATAGTATTTTGTACTGCACATAGTTAACATTAAGTGGGGAATAAATTTACTAAAACCTGTCAGAATAAATAATTGAAGCAATAAAATTAGTTTTCCTTGTTTTCTCAATAGAAATGATGAGGAAACAATGCTGGCCTACTTCCCAGGATTAGGTTATATATTTACTTTTAAATTTAATTCTGATATAGCATCAGTATATTTATTACATATAGATACTGTCTCCAATGACCATTAAAAAACATATGAATGGGTAAAGAGTAATTAAAAAAAAACTAACTTTGTCGAGTACATCAGCTCGATTAGTAGATGCAAGCATGAGTACCCCTTCTTTTGATGCCATACCATCCATTTCAACCAACAGCTGATTCAAAGTCTGTTCTCCTTCACCAGTGGAACTATCCATGGGACCAACGCCACCGCTGCGTTTCTTGCCCATTGCATCTATTTCATCAATATATATGATACACGGTGCACGCTTTCTACCTTCTTTGAATAAATCCCTAAAAAGTAAAATAGCAAACAATAATTAAAATTTAAATTACAAGATTCCATAGTCAAGAAAGCCAAATCAGAAAACTATTCAACACATTTTGAACACAAGATTTAGATCATTTATTTCTTACAACGTTTACAACAAAAAAATAATGGTTTATTTTATATTTTTAATCTTCCAGCGGGCGCACAGAATGTGGCACCTTCGGTTTCCAGGCTGTCAAAACTCTTTAAGCGCCCAGATGTTGTGGTGATCGCAGTTATTGGTTTAACTAATTCTTATTGTACTTCTGCTACCTTCCTCCTACCTGCCGCTGACCCTAAGAAACCTATTTTTTCCAATTGCTTGGAAAACAGTTATGGCACACTACATGGCCACTCAGATTATTAGTGTCATAATTTTTCTTTGATATTTTTTGTGTTTGAGATTGATTTGAAGTTTTTGCTTTTACCTAAAAAAATTCCATATTGAAACATAGTGCAGTTATAAATTTTATTATCACACTTACATTTATTTTGAGTTATATTGTTTTTAGATGGATTGAAAAAGATAAAATTAAAGTATCATTTTAATTCATATTTTTACATTTATTAATTTTTACTATTACATTTTAATTTTTGTTTATTTTTGCACTTATTGATTTTTAAATTTATCCATAACATTATATATATATATTACAGATACATTTTCAAAAGCACCAAAATCAGCAATCAGTCAAAATATAAATTAAAAAAAAAGAAGAAAAAATTATAAAATTAACTGAGTAACAGCAAGGAGCTTCTACGAGGAACTAGGTGTTGATGTTGGGGAGCTTGCGAAATTGGCCGAGAATATTATTCTGGACTTCCTGAGAATCATTTACCATCACTTATATAGTAATTTACCATGAATTGAGAATGTTTTTTATCATTTATTTATTCTATTTAATTGTTAGCATTGTCTTGTCTTTTTGTTTGTAGATGTGGATATATGTATGTGCGATTTAGTGTTCGAATCTTAGCATTCAATTTTTTTTTTTTTTAGTGCGTATGTTATGCAATGTTGAAGCCTTAGTACAGTTTATTAGGCTTGGTGTAGTTATTAGTTTATATTTTATAAGCTTAATATTATAATGATGAAGGAAAATAAGGAAAGATCTATACATATGTAATAATAGAATAATGTTATGTATAAATTATGTCCAAATGGATTGATCAGTATGCCATGTGTAAAGCAACCCTATGTAGTTGGGCAGCACTACTTTCAATAAAGTATTTCTCTCTCTAAAAATCAACCCATAGCACTTATAACATTTTGTTTTTATTTTACCTGATTTCTGTTTTACTTTTCATTTAAATAATGTTTGTTTGTTTTTCAAAATGGTGTTACTTTTTTATTTGTTTACATATACTTTCACTGAAGATATTGTGTATATTTCTTAATTTTGATTAATGTAATTTTTGGCCAGATATGGTTTTTATTTTTTGTTCACAATTGTTATTCTTAAGAAACCTCGTCCCAGAATAAAGTTTATTTTCTATTCTATTCTATCCTAAATAAATTTCTATAATAATAATAATAATAATAATAAATTTCTATTCTATTCTATCCTAAATAAATAAAATTGGAAATTGTATTAATCTATAGAATATTGAATTTAGAATTTAAACGACTGAAAACAAAACCATTAATCTCTACTAAAAAGACATGGCGCACTCCATGAACTGCGCGCCTACTCCTGTTATACATAAAGGTACTGGAAGGTTAAAAAGAATATCGCCTCATCATTGTGTCCAATATTTTTCATACAAGCAAATATCAGTAAAAATCATTATTATATTACATTATTTTCATTTAAAATAATTTTTGTAATGCAGCTTCTCACTATGTGATAGTAAAGTGATCAAGTTAATACAAGGAAACTATGAGTGTCAAATGACACAAAATAGAGAAAAAAATTCCTTTATCCCCTACCTGGTCATCCCTGGCATATGGAGGAGGGTTTATTCCTATTATCTATTCTGCTATAGGTATCCAACATACTATAAACATAGTGGGAAGGTTGAGATTCATTTCATGAGCCCACTTCAAAATAAATAAAATTTCAACAAGCTCTTGTTCTTCTTAACCTTAAATCTTTTTAATAATCCTTCATCATTAAATATGGGAGCAGTGCCACTGATATTACAAACCTCACTTTACTTTAATTTATGAGATGAGATTAATATTAGAATTTTCTTGACAAATGACAAGTGGGTTTATAATACCAATACAAAAAAAAAAAGAAGAAAGAAGAAAAATGTGGCTAATTAAAATTGCTTCATGCGTATAACATTAATTAAAGGCCAATAATTGGGCCAGTAAAGTAAATTAATTGGGATTTAAAATCTTTTTATCTCAATAAAAATAAAAAATAAAACTCACCTAACCCTAGCAGCACCAAGTCCACCAATCATTTCAATAAATTCTGACCCATTCATTGATAAAAATGGAACTTTGGCTTCGGTAGCTACAGCTTTTGCCAACAAAGTCTTTCCACAACCAGGGGGCCCTAAAAGTAAAGCTCCTTTTGGAATCTAAAAATTTAAATGAAAATTTAATAAATAAAATAGAAACTATAATAATGTAAATAGTCACAATAATGAATAAATTAACTGTTATCATTTCATTAATATATCATAGTCCGTGGTATAGTCCCCTTTTAATCACATTATTAACATTCAGCTGAAACTTCGTAAATAGCTTCATTTCATCGTTACATAGAAACATTATATTTACCAAAAGTCTCGGAATTGGGGTGTTTTCATTCTGGAGGTCGGTAAACTTTTTCTATTTAATTAGGTACTAAAAACTCATAAATAGCCATTTGCTTTCCACTTTAATAGTGAGATTCGAATGAGCACAAAGTCGATAAAAAAGATGGCTTTCAAAAATATTGAGCGAGACCTACACCCCCAAATTGTCAAAATAATGAGGTTATATAGGCCAAACGGCTCAATATTTTTGAAGGCCACCTTTTTTATCGACTTTGTGCTCAAGTTATCTTACGATTAAAGTGGTAAGCAAACGGGTATTTACGAGTTTTTAGTACCTAATTAAATAGGCAAAGTTTGCCGAACTCCAGATTGAAAACGACCCAATTCCGAGAATTTTTGTAAATAAAATATTTGTAGGTTACAATGAGATGAAGCTATTTACGAAGTTTCAGCGGGATGTTAATAACTTGATAAAAAGAGGTCGGTACCACAAACTATCACTTAGCATAACTAACTACACACCTATTTGAACAAGATAAAGTAAAAAAATAATTATAATTAACCATTTTACTAATTATATCTGTATATATATATATATATATATATATATAATATATATATATATATATATATATATATATATATATATATATATATATGATTTTTTAAATTCATTTTATTACAAAATCAAAGGAAACTGAACTTATACAGGGCCAGATTTAAAAGTTGGTGAGCCATAGGCCGTAGGGATTTTGCTGCTCTCTCTTCAAAGCTATCGAGCAAGGTTCTAGAAGTAAATAAAAATCTAAAAACGAATCAATCAAAATCATCAGTGGTGTGACATCAGTAAAGTCAGAGCCCCTTTCAGCAGTTTTTGCCATTTCTTCCTACCCTACACAGCCATGAACCAATTCCTCACATCATTTGCAGCACCGTCCCTCCAGTGCAGATTCATTTTTCCAATTCTTTCAATCTGTAAAGTTGATCTGACAAAATCTTTTTAGGAATATTCTATTCAATCCCGGCAACATGTCCAACCCATCTAAACCTCCCTATAGAGATCATTTTCATATCATGTTTACTGTTATCACATTGACCTGTGAGGTGAGATAGATCAATTCATTCACCTTTTCAAAACAGCAGGTTCCTATGGTGATCTCTTCCATTCACTTGACTCTCTGACCTGCTTCCATGAATTTGGCTTTCTTTTTATATGTTTCCAGATCTAACTTCCTTGCTGGGATCTTTAGAATCATAAATGCACTCTTCATCGTCTGAAAGAATCTTTTCATGAAATCAATATATGCCAGGATTCGCGAAGTCTGGTTGAAAAAAAAAGAAGGAATAAATGAAGATTTCTCTTATTTTCTCATAAACATTTTCATTGTTTTTAAATGATACCATATTGATTTCAAAATAAAAAATATGTTAACTATGGCATGTCCTCATTATGATCACAAAAAATGACCATGTAAACAAGCCTAAAAAGTCCATAATGATTTCCACCAGTGGTTGAAAATCAGAGTACTAAATTACAATGTCATACATGAGACTTTAATCAAGAAAATGAATCGCATAAACTGGCCTTTAGAATACCATTGTGTAGCCTCATATCTGAGACGGACATCTGTCATTTTTTAAAAGGTTGAGAAAAAGTGAATTTTTTTAACATAGCTCCAATTCCAACTAATTCTAACAATTTTGTTTTATGATTCAACTTGAACATTCTTAAATAAAACGACCAAAGATAGTTTGAGGTGAACCAATAAAACAAAAATTGACCTTTTCTCCATTATCAGAAAATGACAAATGTCCGTCGTCTTTGACATTAAGCCACTCAATTATGTCCATTAGTTTTATAAAGCATTACAAACTTCCCACCAATGCTTATTATAATTGTTCTTTTATAAACAACTCCCTTTAAAGTTTCTTCGATTACATAGTAAAATTTTAAAAACTATTAAAAAAATATGAAATTCAGCAAATTAGTTACACACGAGATTACTACAACAATGCATGGCTTAATTTCTCTTAGAAAACTCATTTCACGACTGAAGTGTCATTTATAGAACACGATCATTTTTTCCAATAATCGTACAATCCATGGCCTGCAGGACTTAGATGGAGATCTCAATGCGGCCCGTGGGCCAAAAAGTGAAGCAACAAATAAAGAAAAAAAAAATTAAAATTCAAAGTTGTAAAAAAAAGAGATTTGTATTAATAAAAATAATATTAATTCCAGAATAATACAACAAAAGAAATAAATGATTATGTAAAAAGAAAAATATAAAGCCAATAACCTTTGCTCCAAGCTCTTTATAATATTCTGGCCGCTTTAAATAGTCCACTATCTCCATGACTTCTGTTTTAACTTCTTTCAACCCTGCTACATCGGCAAATCTCACACCTCTACCTTGACCATCAATAGGATCGATAAGAGTGAATTTAGCTCGGCTTAGCTGGGACTAAAAAATAAATAATAGAAAATAGATTAATTAATATTGCAAAAAAAAAAAATACATTAAAACTATAACTTCATCAAATCTGCTGACTTGTCCCGGGCTACAGGACATTAGAAACAAAGCCACGACAGAAGGTGAAATTTACTGGGCTGCTAGACGTTGCAATTATAATACAACTGAATTTAAGATTGCATGCTCATTTATAATATTTTTTGAATTGGGTTTTCTTGATATTTAGGACCATTATTATGTTATCAGAATCCCTTATTATTTCATTTATTATGGTACTTTTTCAGTGAAATATTAATAAAACAAAATAAAAAAAAAGTTAAAATAAATATTTAGAAGACAGTGAGATCATAAAATTGATGACATTTTCAAAAATCATGACTGGGTAGAGCACCTATTTTAAAAATTAACAGGGTTTTAGTAATAATAACGAAAATAATCTGAACCTATTGGTAGCGAAAGTGGAATGATATTAACAATATAATAAATTAAAATGAGGAATATTGTGGAATAAGTTTTTTCACAAAAAGTTTTAACAGATTATGTTTTTAATTTGTGGGATCCAGAAAAGTTTTTGGTAATTTTATTTTAGAATGAAGAGTCATTGTTAACACATTTTTCTGAATGGTCTGGTTTACTTCTTGAAACTATTGATAGATAGATTTTACAAGGATTACTCTTAAGTTTTTTAGTTGTGCCCTTGAACAATAGACAAATTGAAAAAGTATCTGGTAGCAAATGCTAACAATAGAAAAAGGTCTATAAGCTAAAATGTTAAAACTTATTTTCAATAATCCTTCAATGCTACCAACTCAAAAATGGCATTTAATGAGTCATAACCCTTTTATTCTGGATGGACAATGTGTAAGCTAATTGTAATATATTATAAATGTACTTATGTATGTAACTATACATTTTTGGTAAGCAGACACTTTGTTTTGTTTTTTAAATTTTACAGCAATAGGAATTATGAACATTGCATCTTAAATTATGATTTTTTGTTACAATTATTTATTATAATTTTGCATCAGTCTATTATGAACAAAATGTTTCTACTACTTCAGAAAGAATCAAATATAAAAGTGATAAAGAAAAAATGAAACTACTTACAAACCTGTCCATAGATAATGGACTCTTCACAGTACGTGCCCGAGAAAGTAGTGATAGGATGACACTAGCTACAATAATCGAGGCAAGAAGCTTTCCAGCAGTATCAGATCCTCTTTCATAAACAATATGAACGCCATTTCCAGGGCTGATACCAAGTTGCTTTTCTGCTTCCCTTAACTTTTCTTCAAATTTAGCCATGTCAACAATGTTCATATGAAATGTACTGTGGTCTGTCTGAACAAAAATTGAAGAAAAAAATATTAATAAAATATAAGTTTTTGTTTGAAAGAATACTGCAAAATCACGGTTTGATATTTAGAACGAAACAAAGAATATTGAATTTATTTTATTACGTAGTATTCTAAGACATGTTAAGTGTTTTTTTTACTCTAACTCTTTCACCTAACTGAACAACTTTGATTTGATTTTTAAATCATACTTTGATAGTTAAACTGATTCTTCGGCTAAGTTCATTAGTTTTACCATACATTAAAATATTAAGAGAGGTACAAATAAATAAATCATACATAACAAAAAAATAAAATAAATATATATATACTTAGGAACAAATCATGATTGGTAAGATAGTTTTGTACTATGTAAGTGCAAATCTATATAGTACTGAAAAAAAAAAAAAAAAATACATTCTTAAATCACTGGCTTCAATCATAGATATTGAAGTGAATATATCTTCAGTATACATCAAACAAAAAACTTTCTTTGAGGTAACAAAGTGTTAGTGTGTAAGTAATATGTTTAAAAGTCCAATAGTTATAAAAATGATAATTACAGTTTTTCATTTATTTTAATTATTAATAAGCTTACCCTTCTTCCTTTTACTACAGCACCTTCATGAAGCAATATTGTAACCATTTCTAAATCAGGCCTGATAATGACCTCTTCAACTTCACCTTTAGCCAACATTTGATGTAAAAATTCATTCCATGAGACATAACGTACTATCTACACAAATAATATTCCATTATCTCCATTACAAGAAAGATTAATCAAAACGAAAAAAAACTATTAAGATTTACTAACTTCTGGATTATTACTATTAGGGAAAAGCAGTGAAATGGTCGCAACTATTAGATAAGCCGTAAGCATCCATAAAAATGCTTTTGCTACTAGAGATGACATTTTTTCATTTTCATTCTCATTTTTCTTATTCTTATCTCCATTTTGCTGTTGCCTCTGAATTCTTGAGGTGTGAAAACTTCTTTGAAGTATAGCTTGTTGTTGATAAGAAAGTCCTGATCGATGAAAAAGTGAACGAATGGCATTGTACTCCGCTTTTAAAGTTTGGATTTTCTGTAGAAAGCAATAAAATGTATTAATAAAAGCTACTTAAAATGTCAGTACAACATTGACAACCTCACCTTTCCATTAAGAGGTGGGACTTCTTTGAATATATATCTGGTGGAAATAGGAGGCTGTACAGAATAATTACTGACAAGGGGATTGTTCAATCTGATGTAACTATCATTACTATGTAGATTCAAATTAAAAGATGCTTTGCGATAGCGGTATAGTGAATTTTGAATACATTTGGTACAATAATCAATAAGCATCTTAAAACAATCCTGAATCCTTATTTATAACAATTAGTTGTATTTTGAATCCCAAACCCTACCCCATTCAAAACATGATAACTAGTTTATCACCTACCCTTATCCCCTCTATTCTCTATGCATAGTAGTGATACCGTACCCATTCGTTTAAATAATTGTAACTAGGTTTCAAAATGTGTAAAAAAAAAAGTAAAAAAATGAATGAATTTTATTTTATTATATTTTTAAAATCGACCAAGCAACATCAAACAATGACTTCAAATATATCTAGAGCACATGATTTTATTTTATAAATAGCAATTCTATTGAATTAAACGAATTAAAAACTAATAATATTTTTTATTTACAGAAGATGAAACAATATAAGGAAAGATTCGAAAAAAAAATCGTTTCATTCAACAATATTTCGAAAAGCATGATCGAGACAGCAACGACCTCCAGTTGCGGTCCCAAAATTGCCTAGTTGATCTTTCATGCCGTGTCGTCTGTAGGTAATATTCAATCATGGCTGTCGGTAAAAATAAGGGACTCTCCAAAGGAGGAAAGAAGGGAGTTAAGAAGAAGGTGTAAGTTAATTAATTTGTATTTTTACCTTAACTGAAGTATATTTTCAAATTATGGCATGCTGGATTGTTGGGATAAACGTGGATAGGAGTGGGGTTATTCCTCGTGAACGCATCGAAAATCCAACTTGTTTTCTGCATTATTTAATTTTCACTGTGTTTTGTGAATTATATTTTTACTTTTTGTTTTTTTTAGAGTTGACCCTTTCACAAGGAAGGATTGGTATGATGTTAAGGCTCCATCAATGTTTAATACCCGTCAAATCGGGAAGACTCTTGTCAACAGAACACAAGGAACTAGTGAGTATTTAAATGTTCATATATATATTTAAGAGAAAGTAATTTCCAATCTGATTTTTTTTTTTGTTTACTTTTTGTAAATGTAAACTAGTGTTAACTAAAAATTTTGTGTCAATCAAATTATAGGATTAATCACTAGTTATGAGAATTGTGTGGCTTTCTTAATAATAATAGACTGCTCCATTTTTGTGAAATGGTTTTTCCATATATATTTTACAGATGAGTTAATAATTACTTAACTGGTGAATCCCTTTCTCTCTCTCATCACTTTCTTGTTGGTGTATTATGATTTTTGTGCAGTTTCATTGTTAAAAAGTGTTAAGGAATTACTTTAGTTTTTTTTTTCTTATGTTTTTTATACAAACTGGGATAGATTTTCTAGTAAATATGAAGAAATCAAACACCTAAACAAAGGCAGTATACCCAGTGACTTGTCTTGGGTTTTTATATTACATTAATATCGCGATCGAATTTCTATGTCTAAGAAAAGATATTCATGGTTGTTTCAATTTCGTTAAAAATATTTTGATCGTAATTACATGTTTTCAGCTCAATTTTTTTCAAAAAACTTTTACATTAATTCTACTTTAGTTATTAGATGAGTAATGTAATTCTCTTAAGTTTGTAAATGGTTGTTGTTAGTATTCTAATTGTTAATGGTAATGCCAACTAATACCTATCTATAAGTATTCATTTCCTTAATTAAAATAATTTGGTCGCAAGACGAGAACTAGTTCTTACCATAACTCATTCATTGTTAAAAAAAAAATGTAACGATAAAGAATGCCTAACTTTTCCTAATTTTAGACTTTATAGTAAAATCAGTAGTGAAACTAAACATTTAACCAAAACTTTTATATGAGAAACTGTTTGGACAGTTCATTCTTTAGCAATTATTTATGATCATGGTGATTTACCATACCTTTTTGCCAGTTAAAATTTTGTTTTTTAGGAATTATCTTCTTTTGATTTAAGTTGGTTTTGTTTGGTTAGAGATTCTCAAACAGGGTGCATTAAGCACATGCTGGTGGTATGTAATAATTTTGGTTGAATGATATTTTTAAGATTATGATTCTATTATGTCACTGCTATAAGGATAATAACTGTGCTAAGAATTGTAATTAGTCTGATAGGGATATCAAAAAAGGCCAAGTTTGTGTGAAAAAAAAACAACTGAAAATTACTTTCAGGCAATTTTTTTTTCAATAAAATGTTATCCTTTATAAAACATAAATCCTATCAATTTTAATGTTGATTTTGAACCTATTCTCAGGACGTATTGAGAATTTATCACTCGCTACATATTCTAGTTATTAAATGTTCTTATATATTCTTTATTTTTATTCAATCATTCTTCCAGTTTGCTAGATAATTGATTTTGTTTTGTTTTTCTACAGAAATTGCTTCTGAAGGACTCAAAGGTCGAGTTTTCGAGGTGAGCTTAGCCGATCTTCAGAATGATACTGATGCTGAAAGGTCATTCAGGAAATTCCGTCTCATTGCTGAAGATGTTCAGGGCAGAAATGTTTTGACCAATTTCCATGGTATGGACTTGACCACAGATAAACTGAGGAGCATGGTGAAAAAGTGGCAAGTAAGTCATTTTGGTTAAAATTTAATGATCACACTGTAGAATACTGAAAAGAACTCTAAGGATTAGTTTATGCATTTTAAGTAAGTTGAAAGCCGCAATATAATTAAAGTGCCAATTTAATTGAAAAGGATCTGTTCAGAGTTAGTAGAAGTTATAATTCGTGAGCTAGATAAAGGGAGTTCCAATTACTGGGTCATTCTCAGAATACACTTATGAAGTGGTAACCATTTATCTTTCCTATTAATTCCTTATAATAAGTACAGTTCATTTCTATTCCAAATTATATTAGCAGTTCTGTTAGTGTAAAATGTATCCAGATTATTAAGTTGTTTTTTGTTTTGTTTTTTCTAAACCTGTTTTCAATAACTATAATAGAGCGTGGAAGGAACACCCGTAGTGTATTCTTTACTCTGATAATAACAATTGGGAAAGTAGAGTCTATTGCATTTCAGTTTTAAACATTATTTCACTTGGTCCTTTCATCTTACATCCGCTAGCCCTTATAATAACTCACAAGTATAAACCTCTATAAATTGCTTCCTGTTTTACGTCTTTAATAAAAATATGTGTTCTTGTACTCCTGTCACTATGTCATTTTTCATAATGATTTTATGTAATATAGTGGTCAGCTTCTTGATTAATCAGAATTAATAAATCCAGGCTAAATTTAAATTATAGAAATGAATGTCTTAATGTCTAATGTAATATTGGAATGTTTGTTGTGTTATATATATTTTTTTTCTGAATGACACTTTTATACTGTATGCTCAGTTTTTAGTTTTTGTGTTTTATAAATAGTTTATTTAATTTCCATTTCAGACATTAATCGAAGCCAATGTTGATGTTAGAACCACTGACGGATACTTGTTGAGAGTTTTCTGTATTGGATTCACTAACAAGGACCAGATGTCTCAGCGTAAAACTTGTTATGCCCAACACAACCAGGTAAGTTATTTTATTTTAAATAAAAAAGAAGTAGATTCACCCATTCCTCGAACACCAACATTATGAAAAACTAAACAGAGTGGTGGGGGAGGTATTAACCTTTAAGTGGTACTTCAAAATGTTTTTAAAAACAGTAAAAATTCAAATTTATATTTTAAGCCACAGCTTATGTGACACTTTTTGCAAAATGTAAACCTGATTTCAAAAGAATAGAAATTGCTATTACAGCTTGCTATTGATTACCTATTGTATTAAATTAAACTGTTAGAAGGTTTGATATTTCAATATAGGCTTAAGTATACAGATCTATATTTTGCTTTTTCACTAACGAAGGTATTGAAGCTTTGTATTCGTGCGAGAGTTAAAAAAAAATTTTGTGCTGAGAATCAAAAATTTCCACTCGTGTCTTACATTTCAGACATCAAGGACCGAATTTGGTTTGGTGTCTGTCTGGAATCAAATCGATGTAACTATTACTTACTATTGTTTATCCAATTTTAATGAAGTTTTCAGGGATTTTGCGGGTCACGTATCAATTTTAATTAATTCTATTCAGAACTTCCTCTTATGCACGTGCTAACATATTTTTTAGATATGCCAATATTTCAGAAACAGCACGTTTGATTTAGCCCAAAGTTGGAATAAAGGTAGTTGTTAATAATAACAAAAAGTAGCGTAGTACCAATTTTATTGAATTCCGTCCACCACTTTCTTTTACATATATAATGGGTGATAAATATTCAGGACGCAGCCATTATAAAGCTTTTCTTGGTGTCGACGTTTCAACCTAAACATGTGGGTCATCAGAGCTGAAAATAATAAAACTAATCAGTGATATAATATTATATGACAGATAATGGTTAATAACCAAAAAATAGTGTTTTATGATAAATGAAATATGTGAAAAGTTATACAAACTAAAAATAATGTATATAATCAATTTATAGAAAATGTAATGTTTTGTCTTTCTAACCGTATTTCGAGCACTGAAGGTCTTCAAGTATTGGCACTTTGGAAGGTAAGGAAAAGGGTTGGTGGAGGATTTCCCAGATGTGCTTTTTTAAGATAGCAAAAGATAAATAATTATAGTCAGAGGGGAGATGTGGGTAACATTTTTGTTGAATGCAAATAATTTGATGACTAAATTATACAAGATTTGCGTTATTCCTTAAAGTAAACAAAATTGTGACTGTTGGCTAGTAATAAAATGAACATGAGTATTCAATAGTTAAGCAAATAATGTTTATAATACAGACAATTGTAATGGATTGAAATGATAATTAGTACAATATGTTGAGCATAACAATATTGATCATAAAAAAAATCTATTATATTAAGAATTACATAGTTCTAATAGTATATGTATTAAACATATCTGTGCTTGTTTATAGTATAAATTTATATTGAGAATAGAAGTTATATGTGTGTATATATATAATAAATGTAGGAGTAGTTACCTCTGTACATTGATAGGGAAAATAGAAGAAAAAAAAGTTGATTATTATAGACTATTGTTTTAGAAGGCAGAAAATGTTTGAATATGTATTGCAAATTTTTTTTTTTTATTTGTCTACTTTGTGGTTATTTTTTTCTAAATAAATGAATAAAGCTTCTGAAAGTAGTCTTTTTTGGTGATTGGGAACTGTGTCTAGTATGGTTGGGCTTTCAAAATCAAATATGTGATTAAAAGTTCGTGTTTGGCTAGTTTGAAAGCGAGGGGGTTTCCTGTGGAGATACTGTATTTTTGTTGATATATTCGTTGTTTTTTTTGTTTGTTTTTTTTAGATAATTTTTTGTATCTGCTTTATAAGAAGAATTATAGTTTGGGCTATAGCATGTGATATGGTAAACTATATTCGATTGTTGTAGGAGCGGAACAGAATCTTTGAGTTTGGTTTATAGATTCCTTAATTTACCGTTATTTTTGAAAACTATTTGTAGATAAGGGAATTAGAAGTTGAAGCTTTTTTGAGATGGGACTGGGATGTATGGAATGGATCTGTATTGGTGAATCGTGTTAGTGAGTAATTGAGAGCAGTTTGTGTGGAAGACTGGTGAATATTAGGTTTGGATTGATTTTTAATTAGGTTTTTTACTATATGATTAGGGAAGGCATTGGATGTTAGGAACTTGTGAAGTTTAGTTACGGTATTGTCGTGGAATTGTGGATCTGCTAATATTTACACCACAGTCTAACATTAGCAGAAATGAGGAGGTCAAGAAATTTCTGGAAATGAGGAGATCAAGAAACAGAAGGGAATTATGTGATTCTATTTCGATGGTAAAACGCAGTCGTGGCAGGTATGAGTTGAATGCAGAAAGTATTTTAATAATTATGACCACGTCCTGAATATTTATAACCCATGATATGTTATGTAGAACAGTCGACTTAACTCCCTTCATTAATTCTTATAAATTTTTTTCCTTATATATATATATATATATATTTCTTATAATGTGCAAACGTGTTTTCCGTAATACATCTATATCTCAAAACCAGCACGTTCGATTTGGAGAGAAATCGGGGATTAGAGATATAATCAGATATATATATATATATATATATATATATATATATATATATATATATATATATATATACATTTTTTTGGACATTTTTTTCAATTGATGTTTTGTTCCATCCATTTTATGAGTGAAAACATACCTATTAAGTATATATTGCTAGTATTAGTGCAAAAGATCGTATGTAAACTTTTCAATTTTTGTTCTATTTGTGCTAAACATTTTGTGTCTGGAACTGATATAAGTAATCTGTTACTATTCAAAATAGCAGAAAGCAATAAAATATAACATTATACTAATAAATCTTTAAGAAATAATTTGTTTTTATGCTCTCATGTAAAACACTTAATTAATACATACAACCTTTTGTACTAACAATAGTTAGTGTGAGGCATGTTGGAATTTTTTTTTTAATCACGAATCATCAAATACTTATATGCAGATGTGAAACTCTTCCACATTTTAGAATTCGCTGATTAATAATAAAACTCGTGGATTTCAAACCTGTGAAGTTGAGGGATTACTGTATATCTGAAAACTGCTTCTTTCTGAGATTTGATTCTCATACCAAAAATTATAGACCTTGAAATATAGATATTGTTTAGCCAATGAAAACAGCGAGGAAGCTATACTGACCTTACTTAGCAGACGTTTTTTCTCTCAATCCATTCCTTTCTAATTTTATTTTCATTTAGATAAGTAATCGGCAGAAAATTTTTTAAAATTTATTAAAATTGGTATTCTTCATCATATTCAGTTAAAACATACTGTTGCCTTGTTTGTTGAATTTTATTGAAGTCATTCACCTGAAATAAAACTTAGTGGATAATCACTGACTATCCGTGGCTTAAATAAATTTTAAAGATTTATCATTAATTTAATTTTCAGGTCAGAGCTATTAGGAAAAAGATGGTTGACAATATTACAAACAACATTAGTAACAGCGATTTGAGGGTTGTGGTCAACAAATTGATCCCCGATTCCATTGCAAAAGACATTGAAAAAATATGCCAAGGCATCTATCCTCTTCATGATGTCTACATTAGGAAGGTAAGATTATTTTCTGTCTATAGCTCAGCTTTCTCAAAAAGATTTTAGAAAACAAATTTTAAAATCAAATTATTTCTGATGAATTAGCTAGTGAAGTTTTTTATTTATTTATTTTTTCTTTGTTTCGCAGGTTAAGGTACTGAAGAAACCAAGGTTTGAGTTGAGCAAACTTCTTGAACTTCATGGTGATGGTAAAGGCTCTGATGAACCTGGTTCTAAGGTTTCAAGGCCTGAAGCTTATGAACCTCCAGTTCAGGAATCAGTTTAACTTTTATTAATCGTTTTGTTAATAAAAGTATTAAATTTTTGTCTTGTTTTATCTATTTTCACCCTCTTACTTATTTAGTTTTTATTATACAATTAATTTTATCTACATAGATTATATTTGTATGTTTCGTATCAGCTAATAACCATCATAAGGACAATTAAAAGAAAATCATTTTGAATACCCAATGGTTTACTTCAGTATATTATTGAGGAAAGGGATGGTCCATAGGTAGTCATCTTACCTTAAGTATTCCTTATTTCAAAATCTAACTTCTCACATGCATGTGTTGACAAGAAGTCAACAAGCTGAATAAAACAAATATAGATTGAAAATCCCGATGATTTATCATTCTCTTAATTTTAATTGTGGTTAGAATTTGATAAAATTTATTGCAGTTATTTTCTCCTACTTAATGACAAATCAAACTTTATCAGTGTGGTGACCGACTGACCTAGGAAAATGGGAAGAGCCCAGAAATGTTCAAAACAGAATTTTTTTAGTTCATAAATGTTTTTTTTTTTAAGGCCACCATCTACAGTTACATTTAGAGGATACACATTTGAAAACATTTTTATTAGTTCTTGTATCAGCTCTATGTTAGTGTACTGTGCTATAAATAGATGTGAGACTCTATCTGTATGTGACAGAGCTCGACTGGACCATCCCTGCATTATGAGAGCAGTGGCTGCTCGAATCAGAGTAAATCCTGTTCGAAAACAATGATGAATGAAAACAAAAGAAAATACAAATCTGACCAAAAACTAACTTATAAAAATTTTAACGTTATTTAAAAAATATTATGTAGCCACTAAAAGATAAACAAAAAAAAAAAAAATTAACTTAAAATCTCAAAATTACTTATTGCGATGAAAAGAAAAGAAATTACACATTTATATATACATAACTACACAATTTATAAACAATAGGCTATCTAATAGAAAAATAACCTAATACAAAATGTAATAATATCTACAGTGATTTATATAATAATATACAAACACTAAGATAAATAAAAATAAAATGCAGATGATTATCAAATATTCAGAGTGCTTCGTAACACGACACAGACAAGGATCCGACAAGCGAAAGCGAACTACTTTCACGAAGCCCTTTCCTCAGCTCCTGATATCAAATCAAAATGGCTTCTACTTCGTAAGCTTTCCCTCTGTGAACCTTCTAGATCCCCTTCCTCAGTTTTCCCAATATCACCTGATGACCTAAACTCCCACTTTATATCGGTTTCCACCTCTTCTTTACCATCCCCTTCCGGCTTTTCTCCAGAGGTACCTTTTAACGACAATAATTTTTATTTTTCCGACATTTCTCCCACAGACCTTATTACCGTTATAATGAAATCCCGTTCCAATTCCGTAGGCCCAGATGGCATTCCTATCAAACTAATAAAATTATGTCTCCCTGAAATCCTCCCAGCACTCCTTTTCATCTACAATTTCTCCCTGCAGAATTCAATATTCCCGACCTCTTGGAAAAAAGCCATTGTCCTTCCTTTAAACAAAAAGCCTACTCCATCCTCTCCCGAAGATTTCCGCCCAATATCAATCCTTTCCAATCTTTCTAAACCCCTAGAAAAGTTAGTACAATCCCAAGTTTCCAACTACCTTGAACAATCCAACCAACTCGATCCTCTCCAATCTGGCTTCCGTCCTGGCTACTCTACACAATCTGCTCTGATTAAAATTACTAGTGATATCCAGACTGCAATAGATGACAAAAAACTAACCATACTTATACTGCTTGATTTCTCCAAAGCTTTCGATTCCATTATCCATTCCATCCTTTTCAACAAACTAAAATCATTATCCTTCTCCAATAGTTCCATCTCTTGGTTCCAGTCTTTCCTCTCACATCGAACCCAAGCAGTTTCCATACCTAATCAACCTCTATCTGCCTACCTTCCTTTATCCTCAGGAGTTGCACAGGGTTCAAGCATGTCTCCTCTTCTTTTCAATTCTTATATTAATGACCTAAATGATTCAATTATCCATTGTTCCCACCACCTTTATGCCGACGATTCTCAAATCTATTTATCCTTTTCTCCCGCTGAGTTATTGGTGGCATTTGCCAAAATTCAAGAAGATTTAGATCGAATTAGTGCCTGGGCCAACTTAAATGGATTAAGGCTAAATGCTGCCAAAACTCAGGCCATTCTCATTGGATCCAAGCCCCTTCTTAGATCCCACACCAACTTTCCCTCACTCTATCTAAACAACCACCCCATCACCTTCTATCCCTTTGTTAAAAATTTAGGCTTTCTCATAGATCAAACCCTTTCCTGGAATCACCATATCTCTCATATATCCCGCCGTGCAATTTCTACCCTCAAACTATTCCATCACTTCCGCCATCTTCTACCCCAAAATACCCGTAGACTCATAGTTTCCTCTCTCATCTTTCCCCACTTTGACTACAGCTGTGTGGTGTACGATGGCCTCTCGGTGGAACTGCGTGATAGACTCAAAAGACTTATGAATTGCTTCGTAAGATTTGTAATTGGAACCCCGAGACGCTCCCGTGTCTCCCACCACTACACTGAGTTAGGGTGGCTCTTCGCCTCCTTAAGAAGACAATATTTCCTTGGCACTTTCCTTTATCAAATCATTACCGATCATCGTCCTTCTTATGCCTACAACCTTCTCCAATTTAAGTCCTCAATCCATTCTCTCACTACAAGATCCCGACCCTCTGACCTATACATCCCTTCTCATAGATCTGCCTCATTCCAAAATTCCTTTATAGCCCGCTCTGTCAACTTTTGGAATTCCCTCCCGATCAAAATTCGACATGCCCCTTCCCTGTATACATTCAAAAACCTCCTATTCCAATTCCTGTTCCAAAAACAGTCTGATACCAGCTAACTATTGATATTATATATGTATTGAGTAGCAATCATATAATCATAACACTTGGTAATAGATAGTACATGCATTTCCTACTATCGACGTAGGAATTTCAATACATACATTTTTTTTTATATATATTTTTTTTTTATTCAATTATAAGTAACTGTTTATTTTTATATATATATTCAAGTAAAGTTTTTTTTTTTTTTTTTATGAAATGAACTCATTGTATCTCTTTTTCGTTCTTCATTTCTCAAAGTGTATGTTTATGTTGTTCAACCCTTAAATATAATTTTGTTCATAGTTCAAGTGATTCGTTCATAGTTTTAATTGTTTTGTTCATAATTTTAAATGCTCTGTGCATAGTTTTATCTGTTTGTATATAGCTTGTGCACCTAAGATTTTCTTTACTTTTTATTTTATTTTATCAATTTTATTTATTGTTTCAACGTTCAGGCCAGTAATATTCTATTATTTTGTACATTATTGTTATTCTGAAGGGACTTAGTCCCAGAATAAAGTTTTTTTTTCTATCTATCTATCTATCTAAAATGAGGATTACTTGTGGTATAATGGGAAAATAAAGAACTATATATACATACATATCCGTATTGGTGCACAGAGAGACAAACAGTACAAAATATAAACATTTATACCCGAAAGAAAAAGCACGAACTGAAGCGAAAAGAAAAACAAATAAACAGTAATAATTTTTTTTTTCTTTAAGCTCCTTCAATATTATTGAAACGGTGCCAATATAATTGTATGTGTAAGGGCTATATTGAACAATATTAAACCACTTATAGGAATCTTGAGGAGCTCTGCGCGCGCGATACCAAGTTTTCAGTGCCCATTCCTCCCTCTAAAGATTGTGTTTCTCTCCTCTTCTTAAAAACATTGCAAGTGGAAGTGGGATTAGACAAATCATAGATCACTTACAATTGCTATAGTCTCCCTTGTTTTCCTCTTAGTTCTGTTTTGAAACTTGGCACTCTAAAAATTCATAGCCCTGTTGAAATGTGCCTCCCCCTCTCTGAATTTTTCTTAAAAAAAAAAAAGAAATGGCAATATGTTTGGGTAGGTGGGTGATCCTCTTTTTTTTTACTTTAAATTTTGACTCAATATAATTGACCCCTGTGAGGTACCCCATCAATATATTACCTGCAACTGTATTACTTCAACAATATTGACCATGTAAGGGACCCTTGACACTGAAGATTTATTTCAATTTTATTGTTTTGTTTTTTTGTATTTTCTTGTTTAGTTTATTGAAGAGAATACTTTTCTGAAATTTTTATGGTTGATCGAAGATTAGAGTGATAAATAAACAAATAAGATTAGCAACCTAGATTAATATTTTATGAAAATTACAGACTAGATCTGAAAGGAAAAGAACTATATTGATATTAAGATAATTTTAATAAATTCTTTATTACATTATCACTTATTGTAAATAATTTAAAAATATATTACATTGATAGAAAAAACGAATATTTGTATTTATTTAAAGAAACAAGACAACATTGTAGTACAGTTTTAATTTATATTTGTAGATCTCGCGAGTATTTAAAAAAAAAAATATGATATAGTAATATAAGGCCTGAAAAAAAATTTCAGGGTTTGTAGTTAAAATATCTTTAAATATTAAATAATTTTTTTATCTTAAACATCTTTTTTGATAATTTAAGAAAAATTAACAAATTTTGACAGCAAATCCTGATAATTATTTTCATCCTTAAAATTTTAACAGTCAACTAATTGCAGCCCTAAAGCCAGGGCCCAAAAATCGACCTCATCGCAGGTGAAGGTTCGATTGTAAATTCCGAAAGTGTATGTTATTCTGAATAAAAAGAATCTTGTCTGCCACTCCAGAGCCGCTGCTTTCAAACATGGCGGCTGATGTAAAGAATATTTGGCCAGTAATTTGAGGATCGAAACGGGAAATCTATCTATAATAATATAACTAGTATCACTTTTTTTTTTTTTTAAATAACATTTTACAGAGAATTTGTTCGATTTTAATAATGTTTCTTGTATTTTTCACAACATAATCATTAATGGAATCTTAAAGAATGCCCGATTCAAGATGTGCCGTTGCCCCTTGCAACAATAATATAATTTAAAAAATATCATAAAAGAACCAAAAATTGTAAAATAATTGTTTACCCAGAAAAGAAAATGCAGAAATTGAAGAAG